CAATATCATTCACATCAATTCGTTAACCACCCACTAACCCGATACTTGCTAATTGACTCAATCCCGGCTAGAAAGTAAGTACATTTTAGAGCCTTAAACAACCAACCTCCAAGTTGTATACTCCGTGTGGATTGGATATACATCCCAGCCAGTCGGCTATCTTCGGTTTCCAACAATAACAACAACAATATTTCTCCCGTGACCTGAAGAGGCCTTGGGTTCCCTAGAAACCGTCCTGCGGCTAGGGGAATTTCGGGCTTGAATCTAGAATACAAAACGAAGACGAATCACAACACCAAAAAATTGAGAGAAAAAAAGAGTTATCAGATAAAATATGTCATTGACCGACAGTAATGCCCAGATTCATCTTTTGTCTATGCAACTAACTCCTAGTTTTGCCTCCTACACCTGCCACGACAATGGAAAGAATTTACCCGGTAAATCTCATGGTTCCGGGGCCACGACATGAATCAAAAGAAGCCCAGAACGTAGTGGATATCATCGAACAAAGAAATCGAGATAGCGAAAAAAAAAAAATAAAAAATAATAAGGAATAACAGAAACGGAAAGAGCAAGCCACTGGGGAGCAAAACACAATGTCATACTCGTGAGACCGGTGACAACCGTGTCACCGATCATGGGATCCCATAATGTTATACCTCCTGCAACACCAGACCAATCGCCAAATGTAGACGTTCGTAAACATAAGAAAGAAATTCCAAATCGTAACTCGTTCAATCCAAGCAATCCTGTGGAGCATCTCAAGCGCAACCATGCAGGATTCTGGAGCCGTTGTCCTGGTTTCACTCATCCTTCAAGCCTCCGACCAAGCCACGAAGCGCGTCTAGAATGACTGCCTCGTCCTTCGGCTCGCCACCAGGGAATGAGCTTTCCGTGGCCTCTCCCAAAACGCGGGCGCGGGCGCTCTTGAGCACTTCCCGAATGTAGTTCTTGTCTTCGTAATCCTCCATGAGGACAGCTTCGAAGTCATCAATCGCCTTGTTCGCGCGGTCATTGAACGAAGAAGTTTCGGAAGTGTCCATAGGGCCTGAACTGGGCTCGCCTGGGGCGACACCAAGGTTGGGCTGGTGTTGCATAGGTGGGCCTGGGTTGGGCGGAAGATTTTGAGATGGCGGGTTCATTGACATGGGAGGAGCTGGTGGTGGAGGAGGGTTGGCTGGTGGGTAAGGTGAGTGATGCTGGGGCTGTGCTTGCATGGTCTGTTGTTGCTGCGATTGCTGATATTGAATCAGCTGCGGAGGGGGATCGGAGGCATATGGGGAAGTGTATGTGGACGGCGTTGTCTGAGCAAAAGCAGGCGGAAGATTGTTCCTTAGTGGACTTGGTATGGGGAAAGGGGTAGAGGCGGCGGGTTGAGATGGTGGCGGATAGGGACTCGATTGCTGAGGTGCAGGAACAGGTGCAGGTGCAGGCGAGGGGGCAGGGTACGGATTTGATGGCATTGACGGAAATTGGAAATGGGGGTTCGCCATATTTGCCTGCCCATTGGTTGGGTTGGAGTAGGCTGGGTTCATAGGAGGCATATACTGCGGAGCCGCAGGCATCGGCGGCGGCTGTGATGGCGGCGGCGGCGATGGACGCCTCTTCTTCTCCTTTTCAACCGATGCTCCCGGACGTAGTTGCCATGACCATCCTTTACCGTCTCTCTCGGCATGCATAAAGAGATGACTGTTGCCGTTGAGGTTGTGTCGCACACTGGACGTCCAGCCTTCAGTTTCACACTTGAAACGGAAATATGGATATTTTAACTTGAGCGCGCGATAGATCTGCTTCAACGTCATCGGCGTGCCAGCCTCAGTGAGAGCATCGAAGATAAGAACCGCATAATTGTAGGGCGGTTTGGCCAGATCTTCTGGAGTATATGCGGATTCTGGTGGGTAGTTGGGCGAGGGTGAACGCGAGGGCTTGCGCTTCTTGACTGGAGGGGCTTTGATGTAATCCTCCGGGCGCTGGTCCATAGGGAACTGACCACCTTCTGTAGAAGGCAGAGGGAAGTCCATAAGAGTGCCATCAGGCTTCTTCCTCTTGGTGTACTTCCGCTTTTCAGGCTTGGATCCAGGAGATTCTCCACCCATGGACTCCTTGGGTGTCGTGACAGTAGTAGCACTCGTAGTCGTTGTCTTTCCGGCCTTCGGCCGATTGGCAGGAGGAGGAGTAACACCTCCATTTGCCTCACGTTTCGCAGCCAACTTTTGTTCCCTGGCCAATTCAGCCCGTTCACGCTTCGACATAATGCCATCCTTGGGTGGCCGTCCCGGGCCTCTACGACGCATAGGTTGCTGGCCGTCAGCAGAACTTTCAATGGATGGTACCGGGCGTGTCGGATCGGGTTCTTTAGTCTTAAGAACGATCTTAGTGGTCTTCGGGGCATCTTTGTTCTCTGTACTTTCAGATTTGCGGCGTTTCTCATCCTCGTCGTTCTCCGTTGCAGGGACTGAAGCCTGTGCATTTTCTTCCTCTGCCACGTAGGGTTCCTCGACCCTGTCGGCGCCCGTCTCACCGATTGGTACATCTGGAAGTAGAAATCGTATTCGTACACCCCCGATTTGGATATAATCGCCGCTGTGTAAGGGCCTGATCTGACCCGGCGATAACCAATCAGCACCAATGAACGCTCCATTTCTCCCCATAACCTCCATCTCAAAGAGATTCCTATCAAAATTATATGCAATCTTTACATGTTTCCGTGAGATACCTCGGTGTCCGGCGGCACTACCGTCTGTAGTGGCAGGGGGGTGAATCGGGATCGTTGGACAAGAATCTGGGGATGGAAGCAAAGCTAAAGCATCAACTGGCTTAGCATCTCCACCCTCGTCATTCAAAGATTCCATAGCAAGGGCGTTGTAATCAGTTGTATTCGACTGTAGCTGAGCCGGTGTTGCATGCATCGGAGCTCCCAATTCGGCGTGGGAAGAGTTGGACGATCGCCGACTTATACGGGAGGGAAGATGGGGCGGCACATCAGGATCAAAGCCCATAATTCCACCACGGTCACTGACGACACTGCCTATGATGCCGCTGCCTTCATGCTTCATTCGGATAGGAGTATGCGACGTATTCCCACCACTTGAACTTTTCGCGCGGGTGTGTCTCATGGCCTGTCGGACCTGAAATTCGCGCTGATGGGCGGCCCGGGCAGCCCGTACGTCTCGCCCGAGAATAAAGGAATATGTGTTGCAGTAGAAATGACCATCGTCGAATTCCAGTTTTGCAAAAGCCTGGATGCGAGGCTCTGATCCCGCGATCGAACCGGTGTCCTGTAGATGTCCTCCGGAGTATCCAAGGGCTGATAGATCAGCGTTTTGGGAAAGATAAGCAGCTGTAAGTATCTCGTGTTGTTGCAATGCCTCGAATGGGTCCTTAGCAGCGCCAGTGATATCAAACGGCGTAAATAGGTCGGAATGGTCTAGACCCGACTTCGAAAAGAGTAGAGGGTCCGTGAGGCCTTCCGAGGGGTCGACATGTTTCAATGATATGTTCAGGTCCTCTTCTGGGTTCGAAAAGGGTACCTTCGATGCTTGATTGGAGTTTTTCTGTTCTTGCTGAGACTCCGGCAACTCGTTCGAGTTGGCCGGGATTTGGTCTTGGCCCCCGGTCGGGTCTGAAGACACCGCTGTGGTTCCCGTAGGCGCGTCCGTCGACCACTGTCCATTCATCCCATCATCGATATCCTGGTGTTGGTTCGTGTCTTGCGCTGCGGGTACGGAGTGTTCCGCAGAGGGCCCTGGTCCGTCGGAAGGCATTGACGACTGGTTGCCGAGCAGTTGAGCCAAGAGCGCACTGGCCGCGGACTGACGCCTGGTATCACTTTGCGAGCTTTGTTCGACAGCAGGAGGAGGAAAAGCATTGTTATCGGACTCGGACTTGACAGGCATCGTGCCGGAGGGAGAAGTCAAGCCATTGGAAGGAGTATCGGGGGGGTCGGGGGCAGAATCGTTCAAAGCGCGGATTGCGGAGTCGCTGGGCGGGGAGGGGGACCGATGGTCGTCAGGCTGTTGAGAACGACCATAGTCATAGATTGACGACATATTGGGACCAGCATCAGGCGGTCGATGGCCCACCGCTGGCGCTGTCATGGTCTGCGACGACGACATGACCGGCGGCTGCTGCTGGTTGAAGAAAGACAACGGGCTGGAGGGATGAGAGAAGCTGGGCGGTGAAGTGAGGCCATGGAAGGAGACAATCTGACTGGCAGGAGAAAAGAGGAGCCGGTCGTTTTTTTCTTTACTTTTTTTTTTCTTCTCTTTTTTTTCTGCCGCTTTTACTGGTCCGACATCCCGTGGTCATGTGATTACGGGTACTGTACATGTACGGTACCGGTCTGGATCTCTGATTGTTTTCGAGTATTTTGTGGCATTTTTTAGAGTTGTTACTGTAGGAGGTACCGAGTAATTATATGGTACGACTGGAACGAGAACTCATCCCTGTGAGAGATTCATGACCATGTGTGACGATGTTTGAGCTGTGGTACTATCCGTATGATGCTTGTAAACTAGTATTACCTATGTACTGTATGATGACCCATACCTCTCGTACTGGAGGCAGATCATCCATTCTGTTTCAGGTTGCGATCTCCCATGCAACCAAAAGCGTTGACTTGACGATATTTGAGAATTATCAGCACAAATTGTACTAGGTACATATTTTTTTTTTTTTTAAAAAAAAAAAAAAAAAAAGTGTAACTACCAGTCGGGAAGTATAAACATACCGCAACAAAGAGCCAGAAGAGTTCAACCTCCAAAAATCTAAATACAGTAATGCCAAGAAATCCCCTGCATTACTTGCAGTTTCTCCTCCATGGATCCAGAGATGGTAACACCACTTCGGTCGATCTCGACCAGAACTTTATCTCATGAAGCTATCACTATCAAATCTGGGGAATACATATAGATAACGATAATATAACGCTTATACCAACTACCAAGTTTGTGTATTGACATATATCAGTACCTACATCTATATCCCCATTGACATTTAATACCGTACCATCAATACGAAAAATAACTCCTGATCCATCCCAGACCTCCGCTCCGACCCCAAAGAAACAAAGACAAGAAAAAAATAAAACCAAAACCAACTAGTTAAACAACCACCACAGAAGTTGAACCAAGCAAAGGAGCGAAGAAGAAGAAAAGAAACAGAAAAAATAAAAACAAAAACAAAAACCATGCCCCCAAAATCCAAATCCAAAAAGGACATCATTTCCTCCAAACCACAGCAACAACAACAAACCCCTAAACCAAACTGGCCTCCTCTCCGCCCCCTCATCCCCTCATCCGACCTCAGCCTCGACCCCCTCCTCCCCGACCAAATCTACCTCATTCCAAACTTCTTCACCGCAAACCTCTGCAAAAACTACGTCTCATTCCTCTCCTCCCTGCCCCTGACCACTACCCCCGGGAAACCGAAAAAGGGCGACGCTGTTCGTGTCAACGATCGCTTCCAGATCGAGGATGAGCGGTTTGCGGAGTCGTTGTGGAGCGGGACAGCGCTGAAGGACTTAGTGATGAACGAGGATGGGGAGGGGGAGAGGTCTATGAAGGAGATCTGGGGTGGGGAGCCTTTGGGGTTGAATGCGAATATTCGGATCTATCGGTATTCGAAGGGACAGTTTTTTGCCCAGCATTGTAAGTTCTTACTCTCTTTCTTTCTTTCTTTTTTTTTTTTTTTTTTCACCCTTTCCCTGTTTGTGGGTTCTAGCCGCAGTATATGTATGTATGTCCCCTGTAGATAAGATGTAGACCTAGAGGTTGTACGGATGCACTGTATGATGCAGAAGCGGGTCTCCGGACATAATTGCCTACGTGCGGGGAGACTAATGGTTGCAGACGACGATTCCAACACCCTCACTTTCTCTTCCCCCTCCCATCCATCTCAACCTGCTCGCACCACGTGGACCCTTCTTATTTACTTGACTACCTGCTCGGGGGGTGAAACTATCTTCTACCCAGACTCGACTCGCGGGAATCGCAACCCCGAGCCTGTTTCAGTGGCCCCTGTCACGGGCATGGCACTACTACATCGGCATGGCGACCGATGTCTCCTGCATGAGGGCAGTGAGGTTTCAGACGGCGAAAAGTGGGTGTTGCGGAGTGATTTGGTGGTCCGATGATGAGTGTCGGCCGTCTAGGCCCTATTACTACTTACGTCTCTACTTCGACGTGTGTCTCTGGCTATGGATAACAGTAGTCCTATTTGCACAAGAAAAGGCTCTCAGCGATGACACGATATAAGATGCCATATACGAGATTGATCATGTACATATGTGTATATTGACCACAGTTCAGTGACGAGATCAACATTGAGATGGTTGGAAAGAAGAAAGGACGCAGCCGCATGAAACGGACCAACGGTAGGTATCAAACGGTTGGTCCGACAAAAACAGTTTTCTTGAATATAACCACCTCCTAGATCACCGGATAATGGTGACAAGAAGTAGTAAAGACCAGTCATGATTCGCCAACAACGTGAGGAGCTTTTTGGCTCCATCTTTCGTATCTGGAGACAACTCCCGATGCTCCCTTCACTAGATCCCTTAGACACCCAAAACAAGACATACAATTAGCAATTAAAGGAAAAATGAGAAAGAGAAGAGAAAAACAATGAGACAGATGATCGCATATCAAGACGAGGATGCGGGGATGTTCACTCCAGCTTCTTCGGAAACGAAACAGATCTGCTACGAAGCTGCAGGCTTCGGTTGAATCTGTTCATACTCCGCTCTTCTCATGATTTCCTCTACGGGCCCTAATAACCGTTTAAATCCATCCCGACCAAGCTTCGCCACCTTGACATCAGTCTTAGCGACTATGCTGGCGGCTCGGGGTTGGTCGTCCAGAAGAGCAAGCTCTCCAAAGTAATCGCCCCGTTGATAGGACTTCACCGGTCTATCCACGCCTTCCTTGAAAGCCTCTACCTCACCCGACTCGAGAAGGTAGAAAGCATCACCTGGATCACCTTCTCTGATGATGGTAGAGCCAGCTGAAAACTTAATTGCGTCTAGAGCATCGGCAATCTTGGAACGCTCATAAGGCTTTAGACTGGAGAGGAGCGGAACCTCTTCCAAAAAGGCCTCATACATGCGACGTCGCTGGAATGCGGAGTCCATGAGAATCCTTCGGAATGTGATACGGTCCAAAGCCCATAGTGTGCTCTTCGAGTCAGTAGACACAATTGTCGCAGCTCGGGGTGCGTTGTACATGAGAGCCAGTTCTCCGAACGAACCCCCGGGTCCAATCGTACCCGCCTTAGACCCCATTCCATCGGTACCCGACTGTACCGAGCCTGATGGGTGAATGTAGACGTCGAAGTGACCATCTTCCACGATGTAGAAGTAATCACCTGCATCGCCCTGTGAGATCACTTTAATTCCCTTGGCAGGAATGGGCTTTTCGACTAGGGCATCGACCACAGTCTTGAACTGGTCATCATCAAGGTGGGAAAACAAAAAATTGCCGCTGACAGCGGTCTTCAATCGGGAGACCTGGTCTTCGGTCTTTGGGTGGTGCGGGGGCACCCAGCTATCTGAACCAGCCGAGGTGGGGTTCAAAGATTCAGCAGACACGGATGTCCGACGACCCAAAGCGTAGTTATTCGGGAATCCCTCATTCAAGGCACCCGTCGGGCGAGGTCCTTCAGGGTGTTCGTCGAAGTCGTCTTGGTCTTCATCTCCATCCCCAGAAGAGTTCGCAAAAGGACTCCTGCGAAAACGTATTCCCCCGCCTTGTGGTTCATTAAATACATTGCCTCCAAAGAGGTTGTTTCCAGCGGAGGACGAAGCTGCCGCCGAATTTGCAGTTTGAAAGGTCGGGTCAGTTGGTGACGTCACCTCCCACTCCTCGTCCTCTGAGATCTTTCGGAATGCTGAAGTTTTATCATCTTTTGTGCCCACCTTGAGGTGAGGGCTAGCGCTGGAGAAAGAGCTTTCAGCCATTGTGTCGGCAGTAGGGCCGGAGGAGATAGCTCTCCGGCCACAGGGAAGCGGGGAAGACGTGTAGAAACCGAATACCGCGACTTGAAGCCGCTGGAGTGGAAAGGCGGAAGGAAGTTGACTGGACAAGGTTAGATATGAGGTACGATGAAGACAAAGGTTGAAAAGAAAGAATGAAGGGAGGGGTTTGAGAAGGAACGAGGACGGTAACAAGAAATGAAAATAGTGATGTGTGAGTGCACACAGGAGCCTGAGCAGCACAGTCGAGAAAGACGAGGATGAGGGGCGGGTAGGGAAACCGACAGGAAGCACAAGTAATGGATTGGGGTCTCCGCCCAAAAGTGGGTATCTCAGCGAGAAGTTTGATTGGAGAATCTAAAGACGCAGCGGACCAAAGATGGTGTGGTCTATGATGGATGATTTCCCGAGTGGTAGCTCTGATGGAGACTCCAGTACCACAATACCTGCTGTGGCTTGACGCAGATTTGTTAATTGATAGTGTAGTTTCAGTGTTTCAGGAGGGTGTTGCATAAAATTTCCCGTGTGAATGACAGTTTATTCATTTATTCCTGTCTTCTTTTTCCTGTTTGTGGGTTCAAGAAGAAAAGATGTGGCAATAGGGAAATAGCTTCAGTTACGACAAGCTTTGGAGGGGCAACCGACAAGGTTGGTTAAGTGTATCACACCTGCACCTCTGCTTTGGGTCGCGTGGAAAGTCTCTTGGGATGAAAGAACGAAGCGAAAAAGAATTAGAAGAGAGAATGGAAATCACCTACCTGTGCGCAAAGGAAGTTTTAAAAAAGAAAACAGAAAAAAAAAATTATGAAAATAAAAGAAAATAGAAAAGGGGGGACGAGCAAAGAATTCAAAATTTAAATAAACGTCGAAAAAGAAAAGGGGGGGGGGAAGTGGTGTTGATAATCCTAGAAGGCCTGAGTTCGGAGGGGTTGCAGAAAGGGAGGAGGGGAAAGAGATGGAACAAGGACTCGGCCAAAAAGGTGGGGAGCAGGAATGGAAGTCACGGAAGCTTCGATTCTGTGACCCGTAGCTTCTTCAATGAAGTTTACTGCGAACCGACTCATGGATACTTATGATAATGTGGTTTACTTACCTCCTGAATCGCTTCTACTACTACTAATACTACAAGGGTCAATCGTCTCTCGTTTACTTTATTAATCTCACAGGTAACTAATTAATCATGCTATTTCTATTAGCCAATGCCCGGGACCGATGATGAATCGGATCCTTTCTAAAGATATGATCATGCGCGGTACTACTGCAGACTACTAGTGGAAAGTCTTTGCAGTCAGAATCATAAACGGGCTGGGGGATCGCGCGGATCGGTGTCCACATGAACCAATCTACTACTTCAATAGCTGGACGTTGGTGTCAATAGTCTGTCTTCTCCAGAGGAACACCGAATGATCGAACACATGGAAAAGGGGACGAAATCAGGGCAGAGCCGGTCTTCCGAAGAAGGGGACGCGCACGGGTGATGGGCGAGAAGCTTTGAATTCAATGTTGTCTGGTGTTTTGTTCCATGAGGATTCCAAGTGTCTTCTAGAAGGAGGGCTGAAGTCACGCTTGACTCCAAAAGGGGGTGGATTCCGTCATACTACTCCGTAACTCCTTCCTTGGCTTCGGTTGCACCACTCCATCTATACTATATATTTATTACCCTTCTCCTGAAATCATTAAATTTAATTTCTTACAATTACCTGAAGAATATCTTGTTCATTATTATGATGTTCATGGCCGTACTTATTATCAAGCATTTCACGGTCGTAATTACTGGAATGATTCAAGAAGCAAAAGCAGCCACTTGTCAATCATGATGTAGTTCATTTCCCATCCTTCCAATGTTATTGGGTGGCAAATCTTCCCCCACCTCTCCAACCCAACTCGCTGAAGTCATGATTCTACAATGGCACTTCTTTTTTCTCTGACGTCTACGGAGCACCGATGCCATCAGCACTCGGAAGAACCTTGGATCTTTTGTCAGTCTGGCCAAAAACGCCGTATTCAGTTTAGCCTTGTTCAGCTGGCCGGTACTTTAGCACATTACTTTAGATGCCCGCCGCTTTCACGAGACGTTTATCTAATCGAGCCGACTCCCCTTTTGCTTTGGGCACGCACTGAGCATTTCTGATCGCTCATAACATGTGTATTCATAAAACTCTCTGTACAAGTAGCACGCTGCCGATGTCCCAATATTTAGGGCCTGGATTTCTTATCATGTTTCCTATCGAAGTTGGGATCTCAATGAGTAATCACGTCCTGGAGTTTTATGTCACGGTATAGATTGAACTTGGAATATCTAAAAAACACATATATATCGTACAAGATGATTGAGTAGGGTTTTACCAATGATGGGCCACGAAGTAGAAATATTCAATTAAATACTAGAAGCTTCTCATTCCAAGCAGTACTTGTGTCTACTTATGATAGACCAGTATTTTATGCTTTGTTTGAGGAAGGTCGAAGATGTAATTTCAATACTACTGCGGTTCACCGTTAGTAGTGTTCTAGTTGAAACAACATCAGTAGAAACGGTGAATTTGACATTACTCGCCAACAGCCTAGACATCATTCCCAGCCTCTCCTTCAGCTTACTCATGCGTGCCCAGTGCCTTCTTAGTCTCTCCAGTGACAACTTCTCTGATTTATCAAAAACTCAGCATCACGTCGTATGCGTCATCGTATATTGCCGGGGTGCACTACATAATCTCATAGCATTGTCTTCTGCCTCCCTTAACGATGGTGGAAGCAGAAGCAATGTATGCTAGCAGTCTCCACCTTTTTCTATGACTGGTAAAACTGGCTAAAACATGGGCGACACCCATCATCGAAAACTACTAATGGTGTTGCAGGCTATCGGTATCTTTCTTGATTCGCCCTACCTAACTACATCTTAAAATGGTTAAGTCCACCTTCCCACCTATGATCAAGATAGGGTTCGGTCTTCTCGAAGACGCAGAGATATCGGGGCGTGGCAGAATAGAGGTGATTGGTTAATAATAAAACGTGAAGTAAAAGTTTAGACAGAAAGGGGTGAAATTAGATACATTGCTTCCTGACCATTAATCTCTGGCGTAAGTCCAGGCTGATATCATGCGCTGAAGAAAGAAACAAAAGACTTCCGCATCCCATACATCATGAGCTCTCACCTTCACCTATTTGTCGAAGATGACTAGCTATCGAGAGCAGGGCTCGCCTTTGGCTCTCTTATGTTTGGACCAATGTCAGAACTGTACACCCTCAGACTGGCCTTTCACTCGGAATTCTTCGTATGCACCATCTTCAATATCCCCGTCGCTGTGGTATACGACCTCCAAACCGTCATGGTATGTAGCTTTCTCGTCGGATCTGATGGCACCAACCCTCTGGGCATCACCAGGGGCACCTTAGCCGATATATCTAATCACATCAAGCATGGAGCAGCCGTATTGATCTTCGCCAGCACAACCTTCATGGGCTCAATGAGGTGATGATGACACTGTACCAAAAAAAAAAAATAAAAAAAAGAGAGAAAAAGAAACAGAAAAAGAAAATTACTATTATAATAATACTAATGATAATAATAAATAAAAATATATAAGGGGAGAGGTATGCATAATTCTACAGTTGTTATGAGACAACATTATAGAAAGCTCGTCCATTGCGAGGGGCACAATAAAAAACAAAGTAGTAACGACCCCTGAGCCGGAAACGGCGGCGACCTGTAAAACTTCATTGCAGCCGAACGCCATGTCGAGCTAGGACACATTGGGGGTTTTCGTTGGAATGAGCTGACTCATATTGTTAAGAACTAGTTAACTAGAAAATCACTTCCATACCTGACAGCTGTCAAGGGGCCAGCGTCTGGACCCGGTGTTCGTTGGCCGTTTATACTTCCTTGGATCTTAGCTGAAGGTCTGTGTTACCGCCACCCCGCTTTGGGCCTTGAAAGGATCTTCAGCTTTTCACTCCCAGCCTCTTCAGGCAGCTTGCATTTCTTGTGAGATTTGTGACCCCTTCTGAGACACGGGATCTCTCAAAAAACAAAAGAAGCAATTGGATTCATTAATTCCTCATCTTCAATCCCCTTCGACTACGGTTCCGCCTTCCAATTCTCTCTCCCAACCGAAGAGATGGGAAGCTACACATTCCGATGGTAAGTAGGGCAACTTAATTGAACTTTGCGCTCCTCCGAACCAGGATTCCCACTCAAACTCTTGGTCATCTGGGTCAATTTCGATGATTCCCGCCGTGTTTCCCTGATCTGACGCGAGTATCATTTATTCGGAACATGGGTTCGATTGCATAGCTGACTGATGCGACTCCTGCATGGGAGATTAGGCCTCACGACGCAGATGAGGTGTTTGTGACCGGAACCTTTGATGACTGGGGTAAAACCGTCCGACTAGATCGAAAAGGTGATATCTTCGAGAAAGAAGTCCCGTTACCTGCGACGGAGGAGAAGTTGCATTACAAGGTAAGGGACAGGGAAGGCTTTCCTCCTTGATTGCTTACTACTACGCCTTCTCCTACTGTACTACTCATTTCCCGCTTATTCCTTCCTTCCCGCTCAAAGCCCGATTAGGGAATAGTATGATGTGAATTTAGCCGTGGATCCTCTGAACTTCAATGACGCTGTCCGCGCTGTGTTTTCCTGACGTCATTTGCCGCTTTCCTCCTCTCAGGCTCCCATGGATTCCCTAATCTTCTTTCCCCGCCCCAAAAAATGCTATAAAGAATCGTGTCTTTCACGTCAGCATGTTGTATTGGATCCACTAACGTCTTTCCACTCTATCTAAAGTTTGTCGTTGACGGCATCTGGACTACCGACCACAGTGTTCCGGAAGAAGACGACGGCAACCATAATATCAACAACGTGCTCTATCCCGATCAGATTCGGAAAGAAGACACCTCGAGTTTACAAAACAGCACTGCAGTAATGGCTGGCGTAGCCCCCGATTCCACAACGGCTGCATTGGCTGCTGAAATTCCCAAAGAGTCTCGCAGGGATATCCTGGGCGACGCTGCCTTATCATCTACCGCTCCTGGATCGACTACAGCAGAGCTCGCCAAACATGCCCCTCTCGAGCAGCGAGCGAATGTGCCTGGGTCATTCCCCGCGACCCCAAGATCGGAAGTTGAGCAGTTCTCTGTGAACCCCATCCCCGCCTCAAGTGGCACAGGCAACCCAATCAAGCTCAAGCCAGGAGAGAAGGTGCCTGACCCGAGCACATTCAATACCAATACAATCCACTCTACCGCCCGGACAGATCAAGCCGGATACGAGCAGGATGCCAGCCATCCATTGACTGGGGGTCAGTCTAATAAAGATACCAGCGCATTTGCTGTTCCTCCGATCTCGAACAATATGATCCCTGAATCTAGCCTTCCCATGGGTCAGGCTAGTGAAGGGAGTTCCGACCCTGTCACTATTCAGTCCGCAGCGCCGACATCTACTACTGCAGCGCTTGCCGGTGCTGTTCCTCTTGAGTCCCACAAGAAACAGACCGTTGGTGGCTCTGGCGCACCTGTGGGCGATGTTCCGGAAATGGTGAGGCACTCGATGTCCGAGGCTCACGCAGATCCTGAAGCAGCTGCTATTCAGGAGGCTGTCGGAGAGAAGAAAGAGATGGAGCATGAGCTTCAGCAGAAAGTCCCGGTAGATGAATCGAGGGGCACACCAGCGCCCACCACTGGTGTTACTGCTGCAACCACTGAAACTGCCCCTCAAGCCACCATATCACAGCCTGACTCGGCACAGCTATCGCCGCGGGCGACAACCCCAACGACGAGGCCTGATACGACTTCCGAAGCGGGACCGACCGTCACGACTGGGCCTGAGACCACCAAGACATCTGAGGTGTCGGGACCTGGTAGTGGCTCAGCTGCCGCAACAGCTGGTGATACTGGAGCGAGTGCAACCAAGACTGCTGAGCCGACACATCCTCAGGATACCGGCGTAGGGGCAACGAAAGCACGGTCGAGTACTCCACCCAAGGACACGGAGCGCAAGGATTCTGGATCTTCGAGTGGAACTCCATCCCAGAAGAAAAAGAGAAACCGCGCCAGTGCATTCTTCCATAAGCTCAAGGAGAAACTCACCTGAGCTCGTACCCTGTCGTTGGCCAACCGTATGCGCTTGGCCCGTACCCTGAGACGATCCGTTATTATTACAGTTACGACAATGAGCCGGCAGACTGAATGATTCAAGACTGGTGGGCGGAGGTGTTACTTGATTCTTGATCTGGATACCTTTTTGTTTTGTTGTTCTGCCCGGATGACCTTATACCTACTCTGTTGTGCACAGTTATTGTTACGAGTAATAGTTTAATTCAAGACCAGTGTTTAAGATTGATTTGCCATTTATCATACAGGAGTTGCGCCCCATTAAGTCATTAAATTTATATCATACATTCAGCCCCTATTAAATCGGTATAACCTCATTGACCTTCTGATTCAACGTGACCGGATACCCCAGCATACTACATATACCAAGTCAGCCTGAACCATTTTTTCAAGACAACTTACCATGCTAGAAACTGAATGAAAAGAGCAAACTCACTCCTTGCCCGTCTGAGTCAAACAACAGCCACAAAAGATGGACGCAGGATAACAAACAATCTGCACCCAGCGCGCGTTAGTATTACAAGCCAATACGGATACAATGTACTGTATCTATGGACATACCGCTGCAACAATCGTCACACAGAACCCTAGACCATTAAATTAGCCATTCATGTCCCTGGTACATGAAAACAGCGGGAATAACAGTAATGGTCTATACCTAATGTCGGACCGAGGACTTTACAGCGACAGGGATTCTGGTCCGTGCCGCATTGGAAACAGATGGGGAAGATCGGGAAGAAAGGAACGTCGCACATGGTTAGAATTAGTTTATTGTAGGTTATTTTAGTATGACTGGATGAATTTGGTTCTTTTCTTTTCTGTAAAGGAGGTGTAGATGACGACTTTCTACTTCTGATAACTACTACTATTACAACTACTATGCTTGAGGTGCCTACGGGAGGGATGATTCATGATGACGACAGTGATTGACATGTAACCCTAAGATCCAATATCATTGTAGAGGAGTGTGTAAGTTAGGTAGTTATTTCATTCTTTCAAAGAAATCGAAGCAGGAAAAAAAAAAAAAAAAAGGGAAGATTCGGAACTCTAGGCTTCTACATTAGCAGTAGATATAAAAAGACCGTGGCTTGGCTTTTTCAGTGTCAGTGTCAGTGTCAATGCCAATTAATTTAAATCTAGAACCAAGAACTAGAACTAAACAAGCCACACACCATCATCAACACCAACACAGCCACTTCCACAATGCAAGCAATGCAAGCAATCCACCCAAACGACCCAATGGCAATCAAATCCCTCAACCAGGGGCTCTGACAATCAAACCAAAACAGAAAATGACAACAAGGTCGAGTACCTTTTGTGTAAACATAAAAAACATTCCTTGGCTCAGAAAAGGGCAAAAAAGAGAGCGCTAAAAGTAGGCATCAATATTTCCCATGTTCAATTTTCCATACCCGCCCCGCTTGCCAACGCTTGGCAATTAGAATAGGGCATTTGACTGCTGTTGGTTGTTTTTTTCCCCCCATTTCTTTTCTGATTTGTCACCCTTGGGGGGGATTTTGAACTTTTGATTTGGGGTTCGGACGCCCTTGTTTCTATTTCTTCCACGGAACTTATAAATAGGCATAGTAAGGCACACATCCATTCATCCCATCCATTTCCCCAGGTCACGATATTCTGTTTTACTTTTTTTTTTGTCTTTAAGCCACACCGGCACCGCACCTGATCCACTCTTTTTCTCCCGCTCAGCCCTACACCTTATTTGGATTTAAAGAAGGCGGCGCAAACCATTTCATCCTGCTTTCGAATACTACTTACTCTACGCAAATTAAACCAAATCCACCGTATCTCGAAACAAATACACACACATTCTTCATACCCCAAATCAATCAACCAAAGCCGAGAATAGAATAAAAGAACGAACCAAAATGGCCCGCGGCAGTCTCGTCCCCCTCATCATCCTCGTGGTCGTCGTCACCGTACTCGCCGTAATCGGGTACATCACCTGGTCGATCGTACAAGAAGTAACACGGAACACAAAGTCAAAGATGGAGAAGAAGAATGTCGTATGGACAAAGGACGGCATGAAGGTCGGCGTGAAGGAGTTGAATAATGAGGATTATCAGGATCGGACTCAGAGGTTTGTTTTCTTCCTCTGTCTCTCTCCCGTTTTCCTGGTCGTTATTTCTTGATTTCTGGTGACTAATGGTTGGATAGTGTTCTGGTGAATATGTGGAATCATACTTCGTTTCCTGCTTATAAGAGTCGGTTGTGGAATATGACGCAGCCGGCGGCGGAGGTTCAGGAGGTGGAGAGGAGGAAGGGGTATGTATTCCTTTTTTTTTTTTTTTTTTTTTCTTCTCCCTTTTTCTATCTTTTCTTTGGGGGTCTGGTTGGGGATCTTGCTGACGGGTTATGGATATAGATGGTCGAACTAGATTCATTTCCTTGCCTTTTTTCTGAGGTGGTCGGGTTGCGCATGCTTTCAGGTGTTTGTTGGCTTGATTATACATACGTCTTTATTATTTTTTTTAAAAAACAGTTCATGCTTTCTGTTGTGATACCCGTCCTTCGGTGAGAATCGCCTCAGAATGATTTCACTACTTTTATGATCTTCGCGTTTTCCAGTTTTCAGCTCATTTTTATTCTATCATTTCTTGGGCATGATGATATGATATATGAACAAAGAGAACGTTTATGAAAATACAAATGAAGTGAAATAACATTGAGATATCTCATGACCGGTTGGCGTAGTAACTCTCGTCCTGATTCAACAGATAGAATGGCTCGGGCTTGGGCTCCCAGCTGTCGCCGTACCATATAGGTGTGCTGAGAGTCTCCGGTGTGTCCTCGCGCTTGGTGTCGGAGAATACATGCTCGAAGGTCTTGGCCCATTGCACACGGTTATTGAGCCCTTCCAGTTCCCAGAGCTCCTGCAGGAAATGGAGCATGGAGGTGTGGGTGTATGCTGAGTTGTTGGCGTACATGGTGCCATCGTTGTGGATGAGGGTGTTCGGTTCGATATAGGGCGAGATGATGAATGCAGGAACGCGCACACCAAGACGAGTGAAGTCATATGTAACGGGCCGGCCTTCTGATTCTCCGTCGAATGTGATGCCATCTTCTGGTGGGGGAATGTTGACGGGCGGCGGTACATAGTCCGCAAAGCCCCCGTGCTCATCGAAATTGATGATGACCAAACTGTATAGAGAGTTAGTTGTGAAGTTCGAAACGACTCGAAACGACGCATAGAGTTGAATCGTACACATTATCCCAATATTTGGATCTCCGGACCGCATCGTATAGGTGCTTGATCATTTGCTCACCAGCTGCCATGTTGCTCTTCGGGTGCATCGAATCCATGGTACAGCATTCAGGGTTGATGTAGGAGAATGTGGGCAATGTGCCCTCCTCAAGATCCCGATAGAAGTCACTGGCGTGGGCTAGATTGTCTATCGCATTGTCTTGAACCCACTGTGAAGGGTTAGCTGGCTTTTGTACATCAAAGTAAATGACATTATCTTACCTTGTACATCCACCCATCGACAATATCCGTTTCGTAATACTAGAACAGCATTAGCCGGTGGGGATCTCTGGAAATAGTGGACTGCTTTACATTTTTCCAGCTAATGTTCTTGTTGCTAAGCGCTTCGAAGATTGATGTTGCGCAAGTCGTTCCCGTTACATTATTGAAAAACCCCGCAGCTTGGCCTGCATTATCCACGAATCCACAAGTCGAACCCGAGGTAGCAAATTGACGGTTCGGGTTGGTAGGTCCAGGGTGTTCCGCAAACTGTTCCGTCAGTCATGTCCTCCATTGTCTGTAGATTGTGCAATATCCTCACATAGGAATCCCAGAACGCGAAATTCTGGGCGATCTCAGCAAGAGTCGAGGATTTCTTCTCATCGTATGCCTTGATGACAAACGCCGATTCTCCTGGGGTAGCCTGGTATTTCTCTGACTGGCGTTCGATAAAGCCCCCCATGTTGGGGACGTCGTCATTTGTTACATTCCATTTTCGGTAGATTTGATATGTCACCCCAGCGAACTCGTGATCCGGATCTTCCAGCGGCACTTCCGTTTCGTAGGGCCCGGCGCATATATAGAGAGGCTCGCCCCAGACTGTCCAGCTGGGGTTGGTGTATTCATTGCAGTATTTTCTATTACGCAGGTTGTCAATGTCTGGATGAAAGTCCCAATATCCGGCGATGTTGGAAAAGGAATGGTTCTCCATCATCAAGTAAACTACATGTTTGATCTAATAATATTAACCTTCGTTTAGTTTATGGTGACAGGGATGATCAACCTACGTTTGACCGAAGCTGGTCCCAGACATCTTTGCGGGCTTCATGAGGTAGGGCTGAAGCAGCTGTTGCTAGTGCTGTGATCAAGGCCCAAGTCCACTGCATCTTCCGTTCCTGCAACCTCTCGTCGTTCGTTTTGTTTTACATCGCGAGACCTTTCGCAGGGCTCAACGCGCGATATTTATTCCCATACCGCATATTATTTAGTCGCGTCATACTCGTAGGGAGTCACATTCCAGAGAAAAGAAGGACGATCCACCTTTCATCCATTGTCCGGATCAATCTCCAACCGTTATCTCGGTATGAGAAATCATCGGTGACGACCAGCTGCAGCCAGTCCATACCATGTGAGACATCACTGTAACATGTCTGTTGACCCAAGCGGAAGAGTGCTACGGAGGTCTCCGGAGGTCGCGCGAGGAGTTGCGAGAAACGGGATAGAGCGGACGGGCCCTTGCGTCGAAAAACATTGGGCTAGTGAGTAGAAGAGTGGGGTACCACCGCGTTAATAACGTAAATTCTTCATGATTGATTGAAGTATGTTGCGAGAACTTAATACTCCATCGGACTACTAGGAGTAAGTCGGCTCTGCAATGATGGACATGCAGTACATATGCAAGGACAAGTCCTGTCTCATGTCGGAATCCATTGCGCTGTGCTACCAGACTACTAGTAGTACTTCTGCAGTGGAGAAGCCAGCATCCAGAGTTTAGATATGACTCCAACATGATAGGTTTGAAGTACTTGTCCGATGGGCCCTTACCAAAGGATACTAAGCCTGATGTGGAATAGTTGCCTGAGTCCAAGCTTTCCAGGCACCCCACCCGGTCTCTTGGGGTTTGGACGAATCACGTCCCCACGTGCCAAGAGATCCCCTCATTTGAGGCAAATGACCGCCTCTTCATTTCACGCACGTTGTTGGTCATTCTCCCTTAATAGGCTCTGTGGCAGGTGACACTGGAGCAAGTCGGCACAAGGTATTATCAAATGTGCACTGTGGATTTGCTAATTCCCACCCTCGGTGGAGCATACCTCCAATGCTTGTTACTGGGGTATATGTCCCGTGCTACTCTCATTTGATCAGATTCTCTCGCTCTTTATCGGCTTCCTCACTTGTCCATGCTTCATTGTGACACTAGACAATAGTGTGATCCACTGGGACTAGAGCATTATTACCTACATAATTATATAAACCCGTCTTCCCGTCAGTGTTCCTGGCATCACTTGACTCTCTTTCGAAAGTACGTACTGTACATAGCCCTAGTGGTCGAGATCGTCGCACACCACCATACCACCATGTCAATTTCCTCCATCAGGGGTCTCCTCTCCAGCTACTCCCCCGTCTCGGAATTCTCGCCGGATTTGGAGAAGGAATACCAACTACCCCTTCGAAATGAATCGTCGAGCGACCTCGAGTCTTCAGTCGAGGAGGCAAAGCCCAGTCGGCCAAAAACGGAGAAAGCGGACTCCAAAGTCATTGACGGTCGACTGGTGTCAGATGCCATCATCGGTCTTTCCGACGGTATGACAGTGCCATTTGCTCTGACTGCGGGACTGTCTGCTTTGGGAGATACAAAAGTGGTAGTATTCGGTGGATTGGCTGAACTCATTGCGGGTGCCATATCCATGGGCCTAGGAGGGTATTTAGGAGCAAAAAGCGAGGAGTGAGTAGAACCAGCGTGACTTGAAAGACCGCTTATTACTAACATGTCTGCGCAGGGAATCCTACCGCGCAACACTGAAAGAAACCGAAAGCCAAACCATGACAGATCCAGCTGGGGTGACTGACACAATTTCCGATATCTTCGCGCCCTACGACCTTCCTCCCCACCTCGTCTCCGAACTCACAAGACATCTTTCTACCTCCCCGATGCTCCCATCTTTCCTCATGAATTTCCATCATACTCTTCAAGAACCCTCCGGCTCGCGCGCCTTTATCTGCGCTCTGACGATCGCCCTGGGTTATTTCATCGGTGGCTTCATCCCGTTACTCCCCTACTTTTTCGTTGGACCGAATGATGCCTTTATTGCGCTGCGTTGGTCTATCGCTACTATGGTCGTGGCGCTGTTTTTGTTCGGATATGGTAAGACATGCTTCGTGAGCGGTTGGAAGGGCAGTCGGAATATTCGACGCGGGCTCATAGGTGGTTTACAAATGGTCTTGGTTGGCGGAGTTGCAGCAGGATCTGCCATGGGTTTGGTCAAAGGTTTCCAATTAATGGCCTCTGGTGGTAGTGATGGAGGAGAGCACTAATACTCCAACTACACCTTTTGTTTATATTCTGTCACTTGGCCTGGTTTCGGCGTTATTGGGTAAAAAGGCATTGGGTATGGTCAATGGGTCGCAGGGACTGGGTATATACTAGTACATATAAAAACTATAAATTCGTATAGTAAAAGAAATTTAAAAAGTTCAAAACATTTTTCCAAATTTGTTTGACTGGTTATAAATTTAGCTATCGCCACCGGAGAACCGTTTCCAGAACGCCAAACTTTGTTAGTGCTAAGATAAAGCTTTTCTTACCAAAGAAAGATTCTGGATCGCTGCCAGACCATAGAGCGACGAGATATTAGTTGAAATCCAATCTGCTTCTTCAACATTCACTGGGACGAGATATCCGGTTACCGACTGGCTGACCCATGGCAAATCTGGCGCATAGCCATCACCATTATAGAACTCTTTCCATGAACGTTGCCCTAAGCCCGAGTCTTCAAGGTTATTGGCCGCATATGCCGTCAAACGAGAATGTCCCTGGCGCAATATCAGATTTCCAAAGTCTACCCCGTACCGCTGTGCCTGATCTTCTGCGGTGGCATTGAAATAGAGACAATAATCCACCCATGATTTCTCAAAGCCCCTCGGTAAGTCACTTGCTATGGTGTCAATAAGCACCGCGCAAATCTCAAACAGACCGAACATGGCGGAAAGATGGGATACTTGGACCACTCCTTGGTTTGACAAATCGTGAGACGGAGGAAGGATCTGCCCATTTTGCATATTGTAAAGAGCCATTCCAGTCACGAAGCCATTGTGGAGCTGGGAGATCCCCGCCATAGACGAGAACAGCTTGCTTTTCGCCTCCTCCCAACCAGGTGCTCGTCTCTCCCAGGCGATGAACCACGCTGCTGCAAAAGCTGACCAATCGGTTCCCAAAGAGATGGATACAGCTTCAGCGGTAGGGTTATATAATGTTTTATCCCGTCGCACCTTACGGTACGGATCTAGAGCTAAGAATGTCTTTTCTGCACACAGTGTCTCTTCTAGCAGCTCGCCAGTCCGCTCATCGCCTCCCGTGAGGTAAAAGAAGATCCATCTATACAGGGCATTCGAAATGCGAGATTGCTTGCAACTATCGCTCCAATGCTGGACTCCGTGTCGGGTCCCAAGTCCTCTCCACCGTCCGATATGGTACACGTCCACCTCCCCTGTGTGCCTGGTAAGGGCTTCAGCCAGGCGGTATACGTCCTCTCTGCTCGTCCGCAAGAAATATAACCAGAAGAACAAGTCTGGAGAGAGCTCGGAGTTGTCCCATGCATAGCCTCCTATATCATAGCACCAGGAGTGGCGGTCTCCGTCGTAAGTGTGCATGATGTCCCCATGATTCCAGAAGCCGTACCATCGACGCTGAGATATCTGTGTCTTGTAAAATTCGAAGAGAAAGTCAAGATTCTGGTTGATTTCCGCTTCTGCAGGTGTGTTACTCTCTGTGGAGTCCCTCCTTGACCAAAATGTGCCTAATGCGCCTGTTTGTAGGATATACTCAGGATCTGGAATCACCACGGGTGGGTTCCGCATATACTGTACCGAACTGCTTAGCTCTGCGGACGTGGGAGTATGGTCAAAGGCAAAAAGAAAGATTTCATTAGTCCGTGCAATGCCGAAAGGCGTTCCTGTCCCATCTTCCCAATCTTCATATGTGATACGCAGGCCATCAAGCTCATCATCATAGGTTTCTTGTCCCAGTCCGTCATGGTATGGTCGAAGATCCATCACTTCTGCGGATGGACTGTACAACCACAGCGTGATTTCTCCAGTAGCTTCGTTAGCATTTAGAACATCCAAACCGGTCGGGTATCGCTCCCAGAAATAACGCATTCCCATCCCTAAGCCTCCTCGAGTTGCACCACCAAGGTACGCAAGCCCTCCAGCTTGAGCACCGCCAGGAATATTGACCCAGCTGTGTCCTGCTGCAGTTCTTTTCTTCATAGTATATCCGTCTGGCGATAGTTGAGAAATCCTGTAATCATTCCAGCACGGCACCCACTTCATATATCTTCCAACTTCGTCATTCCAGGCATCCATAGGAGGAAGAGGTTCGCCGTTAATCTGAGCTGTGCGGACACTTGACCCTGGATCTCTGCGAAGGCCGGTAACACCCTGTACAGCCTCCCCAAAAATGCCATCACCAACGCCTGCAAAACGGATGTGCCGGTTATAAGGCAGCTCATCTTTCAACGGAACATCAAACTGGATACCGATTCCCTCGATGAAGCTTGTTTGAGGGTCTCCATCATACGTGATTGTATGGACGATTCGGATGGAATCTGAATTATAGTACAGGTAGAACCGCAAAATGAAAGGGAGCCATGGTGCTTGTGAGCGGCCATCAATTTCAACTGCACTGTGGTTTCCGCGTACAGTCAATAAAGCCCTTATGGGGCCTTCCTGGTCAACATTTACGCTTTCAATGCTGCTCAGAGACTGGTGGTTATCTGATTTATCTGTCTCCGTCGGAAGCAATGCTCTTGAGAGCATTATCAGTCGGCCATTTTGGCCGATTGTCGTCCCATTACTCAGGATGATACTCTTGATTATTTCTGAGCCGGTAGTAGGAAAGACCACGCGGACCTTGCCGGTGTCAATCTCTATAAAGTCTGCATCTCGCTTTATCGAAATACCTGCGTTAACAGGCTCGAGATGTTTAGGCGTCGTTAGAATTGCTTCCACGGAATAGCTGTCAGCCACGTCGGTATCGGCCGCAAAGGCATGTGCTGTCCATTTGATTGACCCATCTGGCCAGTACGCGATTAGCCATGATTGCAAAGCGATGGATTTATTCCTATGACTAGAACAAGTGAAAATTGTTCTGTCAGGCCAATACTCTCCACGGGGCCAGGGGACGCCAAAAGTCGCACTAAAGTTATCTTTAATATAATACCGTTCAAGGCATTGGAGCTTGGCAGCCTTGTTATTCGTCGACATATTATGAAATATTCTCTTGAACAACGTGCTAGGATGTAGCTATGGGCGACCGCCACTTTCAGTTGTTGTCTAGGATGATTCACTAATTTGAAGGATATTATCCTTTCGCCTTCTAGATGAGCTATCGACTCATGGTCAGAGGAGGGTTCCAATGTTTTCAATTTATCCACCAACCAAAAGCTCGAAGATTATCAAGAAATTTGGCACAAAATAGCTACTGGTTGATACACAGAGCCTATTTACACTAAGCGTTGAGGCGGAGGAGTCGGGCTATGGGTACAATCTGGTGAGCGCTGATGCCATACGCACTTACATGACGAGCAATGCCCTAAGCGCAATTCCCTACACTTAGCCATTGTTTAGCCCCGATTTGATTTACTATCCCTCGTTATTATCCGTTGCCTGCCATTTTGGTATGAACGCTCAGGGCTAGATCTGTACGATGCTATTATCATTTGGTTTACCGGGACAGCACTTCGTTGATTGCACCATCGAGCTCTGGGAGCACTCCATTCTTGATGGCTATTGTCACAAAATACGATAGAGAAAAAGCATCAGAGACAATTCTAGCCGTGCTATATAACCGATATGTTCCTTGTTCTTTTAATGCGATCGACCAGCCAGCCCTCGTTTGCTTTAGGCTGAGCCTGCACTGGTTCTTTTTGGGACTGTATCTGCTGATCTTGGTTCGAGGAAACCACCAAAATGTCGACTACGTCGGACCCCAGTCATTTAAACGATAAAAATCAATCAGGAAGCCCCCAATCCAGCCCGCATAAGGCCGGGGATATCCAGAGCACTGAAGTGGCCAAAGATGCAACACATGACAATCTTGTCGAGCCAGAAGATGTACCTGAGTACAGTACCTTCCTGTCCATCTTCTACTCCAAGAAAAAGTCAGTCGACCTCGATGCTATTGCTACTACGAGGAGTGTGTTTGATGATTCGAATCTGGCCAAATATTACCAGCCACACCCACAGTACGAGAATTTACATCGATTTGACCCTTCTGAGAGGTGGACCTACCGCGAGGAGAGATCAGTACGCCGGAAAACAGATCTGAAGATTTTCCTTTGGATCCTTGTGATGTTCTTTGCGCTTAATATTGATCGGGGCAACCTGGGAAATGCTGCTGCCGATAACTTGTTGCCGGACCTGCACATCAACACCAACGACTACAACAATGCGCAAAACATGTATCGGATCGGCTTTTTGATTGCTGAGATTCCATCCCAAATGATCGGCAAGAGAATTGGTCCGGACAGATGGATCCCCATCCAGATTATTCTATGGAGTTTGGCATCCGGTGGACAGTTCTTTATGCATAACAGAGCAGGATTCTTTGCCTGTCGGTTCTTCCTTGGTTTCTTCATGGGGGGTTTCATCCCAGACGCGATCCTGTACCTCTCATATTTCTATAAGAAGACCGAGATGCCCGTACGCTTGGCGTGGTTTTGGTTTGTTGACTCGATGTCGGGGGTGATCGCCTCGTTCATCGCCTACGGTGTCTTGCACATGCGTGGGGTACAAGGCCGTGAAGGATGGAGATGGCTCTTTCTCATCGAAGCCTTGATAAGTATAGTGATTGGATTTTTGAGTTTCTTATTTCTTGTTCCGGGGCCTACACAGACAGCAACATGGTGGAACACCAAGGGATACTTCACCGAGCGAGAAGAGAAGATCATCGTCAATCGTGTCCTGCGTGATGACCCGTCAAAGGGAGACATGCATAACCGTCAGGCGTTAAGCTTGAAAATGCTTTGGCAGAGTCTGCAGGACTATGATCTGTGGCCAGTCTACATCATCGGGATCCTGTTCGAGATCCCTACCTCGCCACCAAAGACATATCTCAGCTTGTCGCTGAAGGCCATCGGGTTCAGCACCTTCCAAACCACTTTACTGGGCATTCCGGTCACCGTCTTCGCAGCAATCAACCTGCTGATCATCACCGAACTGTCAGAACGGTTCAAACAAATCTCCATATTTGGAATCCTGACCCAACTCTGGTCTCTTCCTCTCCTGATCGTTCTGTACACCTCGGCTAGCACGCTATCACACTGGGGACTCTATGCGGTAACCTTCGTCCTGCTTGGCTGGCCGTCTATCCACGCTGCACAAGTCGGTTGGTGTTCTCGGCTGAGTAATGCGGTGCGAACGAGGGCTGTCAGTGCTGCACTCTATAACATTACCATTCAGCTTTCAGGGATTGCGTCCTCGAATATCTACCGCGAAGATGACAAGCCGTACTACCATCGGGGAAACTCGCAGCTGATTGCCATCAACGTAGCGACTATTATAGCATACGTGCTGGCAAAGCTCTACTATGTGGCGAGGAATAAATGGAAACGCGCAAAATGGGATGCAATGACGACAGAGCAAAAGGCTCACTATCTTGAGACGACTAGTGATCAGGGTAACAAGAGGCTGGATTTTCTGTTTGATAGTTAGACATGGGCTGCAGGGAATAGTAAAGCCTTGAATGACCTTCAGCATAGATGATACTGTCGGTGGACGGCCCGATGAGTCGAATGTATTAGACTATTACCTTCTTATCAGCTCTAGACCAATGTTCCAGTGTCTAATGGCATAGCATCAGTGCAGCTATAATGACGCGAGGGCTATAAGCCCACCAATAATGGCAATACTTCAATTTAATGCTAGGAGATATTTAAAAAGCGAGAATGCTAGCCACGGTGAGACATAAGCGTAGAAGAAATACTTAATCTATCTAGAACAACCCCCAAGACCATAATCAGAGGTCCTCTCTTCATTCCTTTCCTCAAAGCCCATCCCAACCATTCTTCCCAAAATGCCAACCCCCGAACCCCAACTCACCCTCCCAGAGCGCCCCCCAAACCTCCCACACCCGGAGTATCAAACCCCCCGCGGCGTGTCCCCCCTCCAATCCGTCCGCGCTGCAGGCCTCCAATACCCTAACTACACCCCTTTCAAGCTCCCCAACCTCACCGAAAAGCCCTTCACCGACCGCGGCCTATCCGCAGGCCCCACCAAATCGCGTCTCCTTCAAGCAGCCACCGCGGTAACACACCTGACCCCCGAAATCGGCACTGAGCTCGCCGGTCTCCAGCTGAAGGACCTCACAGACGAGCAGAAAGACGATCTGGCACGGCTGGTCGCCGAACGAGGCGTCGTGTTCTTCCACGACCAGGACCTAGACGTGCACGAGCAGATCGCCTTCGGGGCCTACTTTGGCGATCTGCATATTCATCAGATGGCCGGCATTATCCCGGATTTGCCCTGGGTGCATCCGATCTATAAGGATGAGACGGCGGTGAATGGGAGATCGCATCAGATTTGGCATTCGGATGTCAGTTATGAGATTCAGCCGCCTGGGTTGACGCTTTTGAAGATGGATACTTTGCCCAATGCGGGGCCGGATGGGGGGTTGGCTGGGGGAGATACGATTTGGGCCAGTGGGTATGCTTTGTATGAATGTGAGTTCTTCTTTTTGTTTGTCTATTTCTTTTTTTTCTTTTTTCTTTTTTTCATTTTTTTTTTTTTAAATTCTGTGGAGAAGGGGATTGGAGGTGTTAGGGCTAATGGGTTTTGTCGGTAGCTCTGTCGCCTAAATTGAGGTCTTTTCTTGAGACTCTTGAAGCTAAGCATAGTGGTCTCGAACAAGCGGAAAAAGCGCTTCGGACGAACGGTTGCTTGAGAAGGGATCCTATTGAGACGATCGTAAGCCTGTCCATCAATAATCAAGATTGAGAATTGAATAACCTGACACAAAGCTCACACCACCAGCACCCTGTCGTTCGTACACACCCAGTTACAAAGTGGAAGACGCTGTACGTCAACGAGAATTTCACCAAGGAGATCATCGGCCTTGAGAAACGAATTGGGGATGGTATCCTTGATGCTCTGTACCGGACTGTTGCTGAGGGCTACGAGTTCCAGGTCCGATGGAAGTGGACTAAGAACGCTGTTGCGATTTGGGATAACCGGGCTACTTTCCATACTGGTATCTTTGATTACTGTAAGTGTTGGAAGGAGCTTTGTTGTTCTACTGTTTGGGGGCTTTGCTAATTCGATGTGCAGTTCCTCATTTGAGACATGGTTTACGGGTCGCTCCACAGGCTGAGAAGCCCTATCTTGATCCTGAGTCTAAGACCCGGAAGGAAGCGTTGCAGCAGGAGACTGGAAAGAACAACTAAAGTAGTATAATTAGGACAGCAATCGTACTCTACGTATTACGATTACTGAATACCAAGAAGTTTCAAATGCGGTTTAAACAAGTCAAATTTGTTATGGCTTAATCAGTAACAAAGTATTAGGGCTTTAATAAGACCGAATATAGAATCAATCACCGCAAAAGTTAATATACATTGTAACGCCTCATTTATCTGACCAATGTAATTAAAATTACTTCAAAATTCCCATTATATCCAGAAAGTCTCCATCTGCAGGACAGCTCATGCCGAAGATGATATCATTTCCTTCACGTATGAGCTCACGCAATATAGCTTAGCATGAGCAACAAATATCCTATTGGCATTGCGGTTCTAACGGCTAAATTGGTCAAGCTTCTACACCTGTCGAATCAATCAATCAAGCTTTAGCTTAGCTGTCATCATATCGACTGTCATGTCGCAATCCACGTGCCCTTATCTTCCTGCATGAAACTTATATTAAAGTGATGACTTGATCGACTCTAAAATCACGACACCCTGCCCTGATGCCCTGAATAGATTGATCATACTGTCATGTCATATTTGGAAGGATCTTAGATAGGGATATCGGTTATTATTTTTTGTATGCTCGGTTGATAACTCCTTGGGGGTATCTGCTATATGGATTTTGTATCAAACCAGCAGGTGTAGCCCTAACACGAAGTGTAGACTCAGTATGCTCCGAATACTCCAGACCACAGTCCCATGTCGCAATTCATGTATAGTACTTCGAGATATTATATATTAGTCCTAATTAACAACGTATGATACATCCACAACTATAAAACTCGCATTCCAGAGCCAACAACAATCCCCCATTTCCATTAAGCCCAGCACCAAGAAACCAGGCTCAATAATGCATCCACTCCTCCTCCTCCTCTATTCCACCCTCGCCATAGGCCAACTCATCGGCCCCGTAGGCCCAACAACGCCCCTCTCCGAAAAAACCACCGAATGCAATATTCTCTCCTACGGTGCTGTGGCCGACAACAGCACCGACATCTCCACCGCCCTCGAATCAACCTTCAACGACTGCATCCGCCCCAACCCCGGAAGTCGACTCATCGTCCCAGAAGGCCAATATTTGCTCAACCGGGCTGTGGTGCTCAGCAACGCCACAAACTGGGCCTTCCAGCTAGACGGACTGATCACGGCCGCATACGGTGGCAACTGGGAAATTGAGCGTTCGTTAATCCTCCAGGGCTTTGCTGGTGTTGACTTGCTTAATGACACGATTAATGGAGAGGGTGACCATAAGTTTCTGTTAGATGTTTTGGTGATTGTTAATGGTGAGTCTTTCTTTTATCTTACCGAGATATATATATATATATGTGCATCTATGTGGTTGGAGACTGATTTTGCTGTCCAGCCGTTGATTTCGAGTTTTATTCCTCCAATGGATTGGGCGCGTTTCAGGGACAGGGGTATTTGTATCGGAATTTGAATAAGTATGGGGATCCAGCCTCTTTCAAAGTGTCCAATGGTTCCTGGGTCGATAGAGCTAATTGGGTCTATAGCACGGAGCGACCCCGTCTCGTCCGTTTGATCTCTCCGACAAACGCCTCCGTCCATGATCTGATCCTGGTCGATAGTCCCAAGTTCCATATTATTCTGGACTTCGCCGTGAATGTCGAAGCGTACCATCTCACCATCCGGGGAGCCAACCTGGGCAGCTATGACGGTATCGACGCAATCGGGACAAACTACTACATCCACGACAACGAAGTATACTATCTCCCATCCCACTCACCCTCCAACTAAAGAAAAACCACACACTAACAAAACAAAATGAAAAGGTAACAAACCGCGACGAATGCGTCTCCATAAAAAGCCCCTCTCACCACGCCCTAGTCGAAAATCTAGTCTGCAACCAAGCAGGCTCCGGCCTCTCAATTGGTAGTCTCAACGTCTCCGCCGAGATCTCCAACATCGTAACACCCCCTTCCCCCCCCCCCCAAAATTCTCTATAACCCTAATTCCCTAAGTAAAACAAAACTAACCAAGAAGAACAGGTCGCCAGAAACATAAGCATCCTCCAAGGCAACAACATAGCCTTCATAAAAACCTACCCCGGCGGCTCCGGCTACGTAAGCAACATAACGTTCGAAAACTTCCGATCCAAAGCCAGTCTCTACGGCCTAAACATCAACCAATACTGGCAGAACACCTTCACCCCGGACACCGGCGCCGTGACGCTCAGCAACATCGTCTTCCGAAACGTGACGGGCTCTGTTGCCGACGGGGCGAGACGGCCCCCGCTGTACCTGGTTGCGAATGATCTGACCTTTGCGACGAATGTGACGGTGGAGAATGTTTCGGTGTGGACTGAGACGGGGGATGCGGTTGTTAATAAGATCAGTAATGTTTTTGGGACCGGAGACGGGGTTTATGGGGTTAATGATGGGATTGAGCCGTTGGGGGTTGGTGAGGTGCTGCCTACCGCCGCTTATACGAGGACAGTTACGGTGACCGAGACCCCATCGGGGTGGGTTGAGCCTGGATTGCCAGCTTGGGCGGCGCCGAGTACGGGGTTTGGGAGTGAGTTTTTCTCTTTTTCTATTTTCTCTCTTCCTCTTCTTTTCTTTTCTTATTCCCTTCATCCTTGTGATTGGGGGTTTTGGCTTGCTGTGGATGTGTTGGATATGCTAATTGTGTGTAGCGGCTTCGCCGATCCCGGTTTATACACCTTCGCCTTTGTGGAGGCCCGGTGGGGTGGACTATGATTTGCATTATTGGGGGAGCTTTTGACGGGGTAGCATTTAGCTTCTTATGTCGGTATTGAGGGGGGGGGATGGATGTATAGAATGGTGGTTTGGTGAACTTTTGTTGATCGTTCTGCTATGGCAGACTCCAAGAGGGCAAAAGCGAGTGCAGTTGAAAATTGAACTCCATTCTATCGATAAGCGATTCTGGATAATAAGACGGGTAAAGCACTACTCGAAGAGAGAAGAGAGGATTATAGTCTTAGGCAGTGCAAAGCCGGCTTTTTATGACCGCCGTACACCAGTATCTGACTATTCCTCCAACTACTAGCCATGATTCAAGTGAAAGAGAAAAAGGCATAACATAAAACATAACAATAAAATTAGTAAAAGCTAGTCTATAACTTTACGGCCCACCGCGTCCGAATCCTCTCCCCATACTTCATCAACAACAACGGAGTCGGAACAATAACCAATGCCACCAAGCCGAGAAGAGTATCCCCCCAACCATACCCAAGCCGATCATACATCGCCGGGCCAGACAGAGGCAAGAGAACCGCAACAGCAGACCGAAGAAGATTATTGGCCGCTAAAGCGCTGGCCGCGTAGATAGTAAAAGTATCGACAATATACACCTGCACGACGACGAACACGCCCACGATACCCAAGCCCACAACACCGGACCCGATAATCGGAACCATGTAATGGGCATGGACCTGCGCCGCCCACCCGAACCACACCATGCCAATGGCCAGAATAACGTATCCGACGATTGCGGGGGGCAGTCGATCTTCCGGCGTGGTGGTGCCATTCCGGACTTGTTGGCGTCTGATGTACCAGTCTGCGAAGCGGCCGACTACGAGCTGGCCGGCGACGCAGCCGACTCCTTGGGCGATGTAGGCGAGGCCGACTTCGCCTGTATTGAAGCCGTATTCTTCGCCGAAGAGAGTGGGGAAGGTTGTGATCATGTAGTACATGTATGTGTAACAGATGGAGTTGTAGAGTGACAGGATCATTATGATTGGGGAGAGACAGAGCTTCATTGGTCGGGAGATGCCTCTTCGGAGGACTTGCCAGTGGCTTTCGCTCTCCTTGAGGGGTATTTGGAGGCCGAGTTTTGCGGCTTTTCTTCTGAGAAGGACTGGTGCGTATGTCTCTCGGAGGAGGAAGAATGATAGTATGGTGCTGCAGCCAACCTGTATCGTGTCGTTCAGTCATGGAAATGTTCTGCTCAGATATGGAGTTTCGCTGGGGTTATGTACCAAGATGGCTTCAAACCAGAATGTCCATCTCCATCCGACATTTAGTGCCATGTAACCGCCTACAATCGGGCCTAGATTGAATGTAAGAAGTTGATCCTAGGATTTTGGGCGACTGTGCGAGAGTATATAGGTAGTTTTCCCGGGTGAGCTTACCGAGTATCGTGCCCTGGAACCGAATATTGATTAGTAGATATTTATTTGCTGCTTGACAAAGGTTACGTACTGTTATCGTCCCGGTGGCCAACAAGGCGAGCGAGCTCGCCCGGTTCTCAAGGGGTATCATGTCCGCTACAAAGCCTCCTGACAACGCATTGGGTATCGAGCCAGCGACACCCAGAAGGATGCGAGCTATAGCTAGCATAGGTACGTTGACACTAACGGCACAGAGAATGCAAGAAACAAAGAAAGCTATATTGGAAATGTGCATGACAAGACATCTTCCGTAGATCTCACTGAGCGGGGAGAAAACCAACGCCCCTGTTGCGAATCCAATGACATGGACCGACATGATAAACGGGGATATGGTGGGGTTTGTCTCGTGGAATTCTTCGAGAACGAGCGGCACCCCTGGGGTGAAAATGCTCGATGCTGCGGCGCTGATGCAGGTGTCCCGATGTCAGCCATAGAGTATATTAAATATGTACATACATCGCGTGTCAAGGGTAGATCTTGGTGCTATGACTATACTCACTCGTTAAACGTGGCAAAGGCAATCAGTATGATGATTGTCTTTTTCCTAGCATTCGACCAGTTCATTGGGTTTTGAGGGTCATCCTCGCTTTCCCAGCCCACATTGTCATCTGAAACCTCGGCGGGTATATGCGACACACTGGCATCGGCTTCTTTGAGCTGCAGAGTTTCGGAACATTGTGATGACATTGTGTCTTAGCTCATTGAGGTAAAGCTAAATCTTTGGGTCTGGCCCTGATTCCAGACCCTTTTAACACCTTTGGAAGCCATGGGGCGAGAGACATCAAAGAGGGCAGGGACCCTCTTCTCGTGAAATGATTGGCAAGTTAATCATAGTGAAAGGCTGAAAGCATTCCCTGCCAAGCAAGGGGTCGCGGCTACGTGGAGAATAGGTTGATCTTTGCCTCGCTGGCTTGAGAATGAGTAAGGTATCATGGGTTCCTGAGTGGCTTACGACTCCTCTCGTCATGCGCTACTGGCGATAAAATCTCCGAGTGAGATGATTTATCATCAGTGATCGTCGTACCACAGGCATAGAACAGTCTAGGGACTTATTTGGACCCATGTTCTTGCATTGGTTCCTTGGAGAACAAAATAGTATGTGGCTCCGATATGGAGATCCGGTTCAAGAGTTCAGGTCGAAGGTAAAGGGGGTTATTGAAATGGACATATAGATGGTGGGGCAAAAGGATTAAATTAGATGGAGAAAAAAATAAAAGAGAGAATCAAAATATGAACTATTGGAAGATCGGAGATAAACTATGGCAAGAGTGCGGAAAGATCGTTGCTGATCCCTGTGGGTGTGTTCGTATATCATTTCCTTCTACGGATGTTTTTAGCTGTACGGAGTACACACTGCACAGTACTGTGGTATGCAGAATATTATAATTAATAGGACCTATCTTCTTGCCACAGTGGTTCTGACAACATTCACGATCTGTAAACTACAAAAGTTTAGAAAAACAAAAAAAAATAAAAAATAAGTGCATCATCCGTGAATCGAACACGGGCCTCATCGATGGCAACGATGAATTCTACCACTAGACCAATGATGCTTTACTTATTGAGAAGACGTTGATTAATTGTTTCTATCAAGCAATATACAAAGAGATCATGATCTACTAGGTTTCAAATATTTCCAGGGATAATTATAACTTGTAATTGTGATCAGGTCATGCATGTCAGTTTCGAACCTTAATTGACCCTTGAATACCATTCGTCGATCATTACATCCATCGGGTTAACTGTCATACTTAATTTCTATCAAACTTAGCCTGTATTTTCCGAAAGTACTGGTGTGTACCCAATGACTACTTGAGTCAGATCTCCCTTGCATGCCTCTGAGAAATCCCACTCCTTGTACTACCTACCTTGGCAGAGGATTCCCATGATTTGATATATCAGATTCCCAGGACAGTAAGAGTCCCTTTGCTACTGCACATTTGACTTGCCGGGAGGTTATAACCGGCTAAGGTGACCTCCATCTACCGGCAGCTGGGCCATCCCTTCATACAGGAGAAGAAAGGGGTAGGCGACTGACGTGAACCATTGGATGCTGGAAGTTACTCTGGGTTCTTTATTACCCAATACAAGCTCAGATGGCCTCTGCTGGATCACATGATTCTTTGCCCGATGGAGTCATATCTGGAGGAAACAAGACTCATCGTTCCTGATTCTCTTGGCTGTTGTCAATCCTCACGGACTCATACCCAAGAGAATTTCTCAGCCTCCCTACAATTTTGAAATTCCGGTAGAGAGTCAAGGAAGGACCGTGCATAAAACAAAAATAAAAAAAATACTGGAAGAGTATATGGAAACAAGGGAAAGGAAAAAAAAAAAAAAAAAAAGGAAAAGAGAAAAGAGAGGGACAAGCCCACTATCTGCACAATCACACCCTACAGTTCGCTGATTACCCATGCAATGGTCATACATTACAGAAAGAAACTAACGTAACAAGTATTCATCTGCTCCAGTAGCATTTGCAAGATCCCTGGCAGCCTTTGGGTCATCGCTAAATGCTATTAGCAAGGATATCCCTAAATGGATACAGGCCTCAATCGATGCATACGTGCTGCACTAGAGAGCAGATAGCTACATCGACACCGCTTTGTCATGGAAGAGAAAGAGAGTAAGAGTAGATTGCAAGAGGTCGGACCTGAGTCATACAACACCGCATCATGGTCTCACTAGGAGTTTCCAAAGCATGGACTAAGGACTCTGCTGCATTCATTCTTTAGTACCACTTCGCAGCTATCATTGTAGGACTCGTGGATTACAATCTTGAAGTCATACACTCAAGCTCTTATAAGTCAACGTCAGAATGGTGCAGGAAACAGCAAGACAATCAAACACTGCCTTCAATTATTTATGAAGTAAACAAAACGCACTTAACCACTCAATATCCGAGCCTATAAACGGAATGGGATCAACTACCGAAGGAAAGCCACCCAGAGTAAGCTTTCCTACTGCTGGAAGCTTACTACTGAATGCCGGGAGGCCTCACCACTACCTCCGACGCCTACAAGTGGCTTCATTGGCTTGAGGGGATAATGGCCTAGGATACTCTCCTGTGCTGGGAACTAGTCAGCACGAATGGTCCATTGGCTCGCATACCACGTACTAATCCATGGAAACATGCCTGCGTGGAAGGGTTTTGTCCCGACCACTTTGATTTAGCCAGGGTAATAGTGTTACTGGTATAGTTCCTTTGGGCTTTGGTATCCAGCATCCCTGTGTTTTTTGTATCACTGGAAGTTGAAGCTGGAGTGATGCCAAGTACGAAACCCTTTGACGTTAACTTGCATGGATGAGTCATCCTCGTGTTGCTACCCACCTCGCATGGCCTGCTTAGACCTTGGCCAGAACAAGAATACGCATTCCTGAGTCACGATGGCTGGAAAACGCAAAGAAAGAGATCTAGTTGCCCCAGATATCACGGAAGATGCGGCAGAGCGGAAACGAATCCTGAATATACTTGCCCAAAGACGATACCGTAGGTCATATACCCCAACAGAGAATTAGCATTTCGATCTGAATTATAGCAGGACAAAGAAGGAAACATCGAATACAAGCCCTGGAAGCGCAGCTGAAAGGTGTGAGTCCGCATAATGCAGAAATATCGTTTCCCGGGGTCGAGAAAGATAGAGGTGGCATAGGTCTTCCGACGGAAGTTTTATCTCCCTCCTCAACTCCAGCTACCTTGGATAGGAGTAATACTATAACCTTAGATTATGAAGGCCAAGAAATGACAGCCTCAGTGGGCCCCGAGACCTGTCCAGCTGGTACGGCTTCCGGATTCAGCGATATCACTCTGGTGCCAGAGGTCTTCACCGGACCTTTCCTGCCAGCTGTACCACATTTACTCCCCTCAGAACTACCAACGCTTGGTTCACCATTCATCACTGCTCTTTCTCCAAGAACCCTGGGGCAAACATCTCTAGGTTCATTGATCTCCACAACTGGCGCTCCTTTGGGGGTCTCTCCATTATCACTATTCCCAGGGCCAGAAAACTCAGCTCAAGGCCATAGTGACGGCGATGATGTACAGTGCAATAGTTTTTTCAGTGACCCAGAGAGCGCGTACAACATTTCGGATGATCTACAAGACTACCAGTCTTCCAATTTCACGTTTCCCGATGATCACTTGCTCCAAGTTCCCTCCCTTACCCTTCTGAGTGCGGCGGTTAGGGTAGCTCAGAGGCTAGGCATCGGAGATTGCCTCTGGGATATTGCTGCGGTGAGTCCATTTCACAGGCCACGGGTTTACACTCAACCTTCTACTTCTTCGCCGCCATGCTCGCTGCCTCCTTCATCGACCTCTTCTACTATACAGACATCAGACCCAAGTCAAACCAGCGACGGAGGGGATACTAATAACATTGACCCGGAGACGTTGCCTGAGCATCTACGGCCAACCAGAACTCAAGTTCTTATCTCACATCACCCCATTCTCGATCTCCTCCCCTGGCCTACTGTCCGGGATAAATTGATCCAAGTGTTTAACCTCCCTGTCAATCTACGTCCAAAGTCAGCTCAGGATCCGATGGGACTTGTACGGCTGGTATATGATATGGAAGATGTCGGAGGAGAAGGAATCCGAGTTCACAGTAGCGATCCATTCGAGGTGGCTGGTTGGGAAATTGGACAACTGATGTTTGAAAGGTGGTGGTGGGCCTTTGAGACAGACACTGTGGAGAGAAGTAACCGCGGAAGAAGAGAGAGAGGCGAGAAATGCCTAGAGTTGTCATGAACTAATGCAATTCTGAGTATGTCGAAACAAGCAGAGGTTGATCTTGCTTTCATAATTAAAATTAATGGTTTTTGGACCTTACGTGCCTGGTTGTTTCATTGCATGCTTTGAACATTGATTCCCACGAAAATTGGAGGGCATGAGAACTGTCTATCTTCTATTTCATGCTATCAGGAAGTTCGAAAATGATATTCTTCGTTAAAAGAATTACTGATCACTAAGCCAATCATCTCGAGCAGAGTACATCGCTGTATATAAAAACATGAATTCAAACCATGTTCAGTCCCCCACTTGGACAGATAGTCTGACCCGTCAGCCAACCCGCCCTCGGATCAGCCAAGAAGGTGACGACGGCAGCAATCTCCTCCGGAGTCCCAACCCTGTTCCCCAGAGGCGTGCTGTCCAGGATATACTTCACCAAGTCATCAGGAACCGAACCCCGAAGCATACCTGGCTCCACGGCTCCAGGGGCCACAGCATTGACGGTATGACCATACGGTCCCAGCTCGCAAGCCAAGGCCCTGGTAAACCCTTCCACAGCTGCTTTAGTAGCCGAGTAAATTGAAAATCCCACCGAGCCTCGACGAGCAGCGACAGAGGTGATGTTAATAATGCGCGCCGGGGCACGGAGGTATGGCAACACAGCCTTGGTCATGAAAATGGTGCTGCGGACGTTCACATCGAACATAGAGGTGTAGTCCTCCATTTCCGTGTCCGCGAGAAGCTTGCAGTGTGAATGTGCCGCGTTATTGACAAGTATATCTACCTTTTTCTCGCTTGAGGGAAACGCGCGGAAGGTAGCTGAGAGGATCGTTTCGGGGGCTTCGGGCTGGTGGAGGTCGATTCTCACTTTAATAGCATCAGAGCCGTTATTCAAACTATGTATCTGATGTATAACTTTATCGATGGCATTTTCACTGCTGGTTGACACGTAGGTGAGCACGACCTGCGAGCTCATATTAATAGTTAGCTCTTAAGGATTTAGTGCAGTGTGGAAATGCATACCTTTGCTCCCTGTTTTGCAAGCTCTAATGCAATCCCAGCACCAATCCCGCGAGAGGCACCGGTCACGATAGCTACCTTGCCTGATAGGCTCATGATGAGAGAGTAGGTAGTAATGGGTGATGTACAAAAAGTCTGACCGGTTTTAAATATGAGAGTCGAGTGTATGGTTGTCTTTTCGGCCACAGGACTCTTACTGTATATATAGTTTTGTTAACCTCCAAACTTCTCGTTATGCCAAGAATGGCATAATGTTAAGCTTAACGTTATCTCACACCTCACGCTTCTCAGCGGAAACATGCTGCATATTCAACTTTTGGAAGGCCCTATTAACTAACGGTACAGCATCATTCCAGTTGAAGTAGGTTTCTTGCATGTTTTCATGATGGATGTAGTCTTGATTTCGTCGTTCGATTTGTTCACTTGTGGTTCAATACCCGAGAGGTATACAATTCTACGGATGTTTGCAATTAGGGTCGAAGCCCGGGGAATCTCTAACCTTTCTACATGATATAAACAACCTGTATCAAGCATATAAATTACGGTTGTATGATATCTGGCAGAGAATTCAAGTGTAGGAGTAAAAGAGGGTGTTTGGCGGCCTCGGGCAAGAAGAGAGGGGTGACAGCCCTAACCTCAATAACCATGAAGTTGTTTCCCGCCGTACCAAATTGTCGACGAAATCCCTCTTCATAGAAACGGTATGTCTGCCTACAGGTAGTCGCTCAAAAGAAAATTTACAGGAAGGCGTTCACGGTGCCAAACCACGTAGATACTTCATCAGCCCTATGTTGTTAGAAATCCTTTCTCTTTTAACAGTCCAAACTCACTGACACCTTTTTCCTATGGATTAAGTTCTCATCTCTAATCCACTGAAAAAAGGTTTCTGGCGGCTGCTTATATATAAAAATGCATTGGTTTCTGAGTCTCCCACCAGAACTCATCTTTCAGGTATACTGCAGTCTCGACTCCATCGGCGATGCATATTTTCTCTCCCAGGCCTGCAAGCAGACTTACTATATCTTCAGCCGACCACAGAGCCATCCAAAAATCTTCGAAGCAATCATAGTAGGCTCTTATAACCTAGCTAATCCGCGTTTCCCCCCACAAAATCAGCTAATAGCCACCTAGGATAATATAATACAAAGACCTTGCCCCAACCCAAGCCTGGCTGGAAGCACAGTTTGGTCCCGGCTCACTTTGGCAACCTACGGAGGCTAGTCTACCAGAGGATCTAACGGACGAAGAGACTCTTGAATTCCTCCTAGATGTGGGGTTTCCTTCAGTTAATCTCCCCCGCATCGGCTTTAACTCTATCTTTTTGAGACGGCTTGTCAACGAGGAACAGAGATTTTATGGGTGTACGCCAGATGATCTCTATATAATGCTTCACCCTGAAGAGAGAGACAAAATACCTGCACTTAGCTTTTGTTTCGGAGAAATATCTAGTCAGCTGGTCATGTCGAACAATAAGAATAGCATCATATAGTTCTATGATCCACTTGGGGGGCTTTATATGAACTGTGACAGAGGAATAGTTGCATACGGGCTGGATACCTTTGCAGTGTTATTGGGAATGGTGGTCGCCGTCACCAAGGATTTACGTAAAGCCTCTTCGGATATCTCTCTAAAAGAAATTTAAGCGTCGGGTTGAGGTCCTTATGAATCCTCTTGATGTACTACGGAAGAAATTCGGGGATTATGACTTTGCCGCGGACTATTACTCTGAGTTTTGGGATGAAGTATTTAATAATTTGCTGGTTTGGGGAATGTATACTTGGGATTATTGACGATATATAAGTCTGCTGATCAGTGGCAGATGCAGATTTATAGATAATTGCTTGGAATAATTTAACTGTCGGGTATACTTCGTGGAATTTAGTTGAAGGTCTATTTGTTATGGCTTCTATCTTGGTTCACAGTGCGGTATCTACAGTGACTCAAAACAGGGTATATTTAACCAAGGCCTCTATTCGACAATATAATTACATGGAGTTCCTGAACTTATAATTCTAAGAATGTAACTATTCTCGACTGGAAACCCTAAGTACTAGTTTGGCATTGTACTATAAAACATCTAACATACCAACACGCCAGTAATGTAGGCCGAATGTCAAAACTCACCTTGTTATATGAGGAGAGCACAAGAGACAGTGCAATTCCCAACCCGAGAGCTACCCAAAACGTTGAAAATGCCCTCTCATTGGTAGGAGAAAAAGGTATGATAATGTGAAGGAAACAAGAGGGAAAGACTCAATCCCATAATCACCAATATTCTATCCTCTACTCGCTGATTCGCACTTATACCTCACAAGGAAGTCAACACAGAATCGTATAGGCCACAATGATACGAAAAACTCCCAACTTGATTTAATTAGAGCAAAGTACTCCATACCCTAAGAATATCTACCCACATAGCAGAGACCTCGTATCAGAACATGCCAGGTAAGATAGTACTATTTATTCCCAATAAATTCCCCGTCCACCCAACTGGCCCGTGCCACAGCCGTTCTATGTACATACATTCTAACATTCTAGCCTCGCCTTTCCTCGCCCACGCATACCCACACCCACACACGCCACATTCCAACGCATCTGACAACCGCCGATGCTAATTTCCTTCCAACGCATTCCAGAAACGGCCAACGACGCAATTGGCTGAAAAGGAACATGCCAATGAAATCACTTCTTTTCCGGACCAGGAAACGTGTTTAGCCCCTCCAGCCTGGCACTGCCACCGCAGCGCCTCGTTCTATTCGCTGGTGCCTGTTGTTTTCTTGTTCGGGATGCCAGGCTGTTTCAGGTTCTGGGTAATGTAGGGAGGAGGGATCGGATTTGGCTCAGCCTTGTTTTTTTTTTTTTTTTTTTTTGTATGTATCTATGTACGTATGTATGGCACCTACGTAGTATTGTGTATAGGGTCTTTTGGGTATTGGGTATGGAAGGTGAAGGTGTAATTGTTGGTGTGGGAATGCCGGGGTTGTACAATGAGAATTTATGAGCGGTTTCAGGTATGTTGTACCTGCATTAGGTCTTACGGTTATTATCACTACTATGTGGATTCATTGCTATTCTGATCAATCATCATAGGTCATAGCTTTACATTAAATGGCATTTCCTACCGTTGAAATGTTGGGACTGGGCTGTAAGGCTCGACGGTTGGGGAAAACGGCTCGTCTAGACTCTAGATATGTTAGGGTATTTTTTACATAAATGAAAGAAAGAAAAGTCGCCCTTGCAAGCCGTAGCCCTAAATAGTCTAATAAAGAATATCCGACAGTGGACATCCATATTCAAACATTACTAGTACTCTTCCTTTGCCTGATTCGGGCTCCATTTCTACAGGCGAATGGATTTCCAAGGATATAAATAGAAGTCTGACTGTACATAGCTAGTGCTGCATTGTATCTAGCAGTCGAATTATTCTGACAGTGAATACGGAAAAGAATTTGGGTACGGGTGTCTTGACATTTACAATTACAGATCTATAGACGATTGTAATACTCACAGCATGCTTCGCACAAAACAATTACATGAATCTATGCGCTTCTGATCCGATATCCGATTAGTGTAGATCCCATCCCCAGAAGTGGGTGCCAACAAACAATCGAGTCACCGCTATCATATGATTGGATTAGCCATGACAGGATCGCTTGGCTATGCGATCGACTCAAGGGTAGCGCATGTTGTGTTGTTCAAGCTATGAGCAGTTTCGAACGGTGAAGCGGTTCTCGAGGGGCGTCCAGTCGATGGGCCCCATGTCTAATGACTGTGCAACCATGTTTAATGAACCTTATGCAGGTCGTAAAAGTGGTGGTGACATGGTCCCAATCACCGAGGTCAACCGCTTGCTGATCGACTGCCGTTAGATAATTGTTTGGGAATTGACCCCAGGCGATCATTCAGCAAGTCAAGGTCAAACGGAAACATTTTCGACTTCATGCAAGGGTCACGCCCTCACAGTGAGGAGAAAAAAAAAAAAAAGAAAGAAAGAAAGAAAGAAAGAAGAAAAAGTGAAAATAAAATGGATCATCGAAGCATGCAGGATGACCTCATGCAGACTTCCCGTGCAGAACGCCTGGACTTGTTATTCGAGGACACGAGGGCAGTGGCCGTCAGGTGATGTTGAGCCATGCGCCCATCTTCACATCACGGGAGCAAACCAGTGGAAAGTATGGATGAACCGGGGGAAAAATGGAGTGTTACGGGACATTTGGTTGTCGACATTTGGAAGATACTGGTTCATTGCCTCATGAGACATGCGGTACCCAAGATTATGGAGCTCGGTAGCCACGGCAAGGTCGGCGTCTATGATGTCGAATGATGTATTAGATCGGTCCAGTGTAGACAAACCCCCCCCCCCGCATCCGACCGAACATGATGTAAAATGGAAGCGATATGGCATTCGATTCAAGAGAGTACTGGTTCAATTGTGAACTCATTCATTAGGCTTTTTTGTTTTTCTTTTTTTCCCTTTTTTGCTGTCTTAATTTTTTCTTGTCATGGCTGTGTTTCTGGGTGATGATGATCAGCCTCCCTTGAATCCTGCCTTATTTCCTTGGCGCTGGTCTCTGCTGTCATGGTCCGAGCTCATTAATCTCGGACGAATCCACTTTGCACCAGGCAACCAGCATTTTTTATTGTTTGGATAGGACGCTGAACGAATACGAGTAACGAAGGCCAATTTAAACTCCTGGATAGCTGAAGAGAAAGCATATTTATAGTTATCAAGAGATTCTTCTACCCAGGGAAACTGTATCGTAGTACGGGGTAAGACCAGTCCAGATTCCTTGAAATATATTAAATCGGATGAGTTACTTTTTTCAACCTGATACAGGCATTTATCGATAACATTCCATCCTTAATCTACTTCAGAGTAAGCTAATAGCTCAGCCATGCTGATGCGTCTTAATAGATTACAATAAGATGATATCACGGTAGAAGCGAGAAATGTTGGGGCCGAAGTGGAAACTGCAAGAACTGTATATGTGTATGTACGATGAGCACGGAGGTACGGAGTAAATACAGCGCAAAGTCATTGAACGTGTTGTGGTCACCTGTCCCCCTTCTCTTTTTCTCCAAGCTTAAGCTCCCTGAACTTGAACTTATGTTAGTATTAATTTTCTCGGATGCAGGATTGATCAGCTCCGCTCGGCGCGGCTTGCCGTGATCTTCCCATTGTGGTTTTTGGTTCGGTATGGTTCCAGTACCTTACCGGACGGTAATCTGGCCCTGCGCCGTAAGGTTGTCTCGTGTGCCCAATAATGTGCTACTAGTTGGGGAACTAGTTTGACCTGTAGAGGGAAAAGCGATACTCATTACCTACACTGTGTACGGAGTACACTTTGACTACCTTCTTTCGACAATGTCTTGGTAGCTCAGGGATGTCATGTCATCGGCTTATTGTTTACTAATGCGGTGTCACTTTATCTATGCATCTCCTCCTTTTTGACAGCCCCCAAATGCAGGTGTTGTTTTGGTGTGGAACTAAATCAAAGATGGTAGTTGTTTGAGGTCGAAAGAAACTTGTCGGGGATCAGAATTGCGATGGCTGGAGGACCTTTGTTTGGGGGTAAAGTGAAAAGGGAAATAGAAAAAATTAATAATAATAAAATAAAATAGAGCAAATGTTGGCTGACTTTGCCTTAGTGGCCACCAGGTTGACTCCGGCGGCTAGTATTGGCTGAGCCTCCTTATAAGAAAGTCTTACGATGTTGAGATGATTCTAAGAGCAAGGTAAACTTACTAATTGGGCACTATTGCCAGATGGCCGATCGGAGCCTCTTTTTGGATCCGCTTTCAAATCCATTTGAAACTATATCATTTGTTTATGGCCCAAGAGTCTTGTTCGGACGAAGTTCTTGAGGTCTTGGACAATAAAAAAGGAGAAGAGTAAAAGGACGTGCTCTTGTATAGTAGCAACTCAACTACTACCAATACTAAACTAATTCAGGGACAGTGGGTCTTGGCCGCATGTTAATCGGCGATTTCTTTGGTCGCTCAGTGTGACCGTTGTGGATTAAGCGAAATTGACTTGGGAAGATCCTCGCCCTTCCGTTGGTGAAGAGCGGAAAAGAGTGGGGTGTCATCCCCAAATCAATGAAAGGGTATCGTGATGATTGGGCCGATGGTTTAACTAGGATTGGAATGAAGTCGGAGCGTCTCGCCTCTTTCTTTCTTTTTTTCTTTTATTTTTTTTAATTTGTTATTTCCTTGACAATTTGATGATGATGAGTTTTCCCTTTGGCTTACTGTACTTTTCAAACCACCAGGTACCGATGTTCTCGACCGAACTAGTAGTAATTGGCCCCTTGTAATCACCTTTGTCACATTTTTATTTTTCCTATGTTGACTCGGCGTTTATTATTGCCGTATCCTCCGAATCTCCGCTGTAACCGCCAGTCATTAGATTGTCGTCGGTATGGGGCTGTCGGACGTTATCCGTCCCAGTGCCAGATTCTGGAGGAGACTGAAATTTTTCGTAGTGACAAAAATGATTTTATTTCATTTCTTTTATGCATATTTTGGGACTCTCAAGGCACTCTCGGGTCCGGGAGTTTTCATGGCATCCTCGGCACCTCCTGAGGATGACTAGTCCCAATTGGGGGCCGCGGCTTGCCCTGATGAGGCTTAGTGGTATCGAGAGGAGCACCTCAACTAGGTTAGTCGTGACGACAACGATACGAGCCAAATCCCGTAATTACGGATACGCGAGGCCCCGTAATCGTATCCGCCGACGTCCGTCGCCCCGTCGCTCTTCACTTTTGGCGCTGCGCTCCATCACCTGCAAAATCCTCACGTATCGTCTCATTTACTAAATACTTACTTCCCGGAGTCTTCCTCTCTTCTTTCCCTCCTCTTCTTCTACTCCTCCTCACTCTCCTCCGACCCTCGTCTACCTTCCTACCCTAATTCCACCACCACGAACTCTCCGGCTCCGTGGCCATCTATCCGCTTTGCGACTCGATCTCGTTCCTGGTTTTCTCAGTCTTCCGTCCGGCCCTTACGGTCCGCCTTGCGTCAGAGGAACCCTTGCAACGTGACCTCCACTAGAAACATCCTCGTTTGGCCGCTGGAGACCGGAGCCCGCGTTCCCAATTATAAACTAATTCACCTTTAATTTCTCCGCCTGTCGGTCCCTGTCGGTGATCAAAACGTTCTTCTCCAGGTGTCTGATCCAACGTCCGGTTGACGCCTTAGAAACCCCCCCCCCCCCCTTTCCGTCAGCTCCGCCGAGGTTTTTCTGACCTTCGATCCTCTTCTTCTCGAACCTCGCGGCATTCTTCCACCCTTTCCGAACCTTCTCTCGCCGTGAAATTGTCCCAGAAGGATTTTCTTGGGTCTTGTGAAAGACTTGCCGCAGAGATGAATCCCACCCTTCCATCATGGAAGGATCGGACGCAAAATCAGTTCGGGAAGCTTCAAATCCAAGTACCATGGCGCTCAATCCAGCTCTTGGTGCCGCACCGTATGCGACGGAAGATTCGGTCGAAGCTGAGGAGTAGGATATCGCCCACCTCGTCGATATCTTCGTTGCAAACCTCGTTCTCGCCTGTGGACACGCTCCGGTCGCTACAAAGCCATCGGTGGACGACATACGACTTCCAATATCTGCTATTGTTGATCGTCGCGATTTTCTCATTGACAGTCATTGAGTCGCCCGGGCCTTTGGGGAAGACTGCCATGTTTACTGCGTACATTGTTGCTCTTCTACTTCCTATCACTCGTCAGTTCTTTCTGCCGTTTCTTCCGATTGCTGGATGGCTTCTGTTTTTCTACGCTTGCCAGTAAGTGAACGCACCGTTCCCTCTGATATGGCCTTGTAAAGAAGGCAATTGCTAACCGAGTTGACTCTAGGTTCATTCCGAGCGATTGGCGTCCTGCTATCTGGGTCCGGGTGCTGCCGGCTTTGGAGAATATCCTCTACGGCGCCAACATTAGCAACATCCTGTCTGCTCATCAGAATGTTGTGCTCGACGTGCTAGCATGGATTCCATATGGTCTCTGCCATTACGGGGCTCCTTTCGTCGTTTCTCTGATTATGTTTATTTTTGGGCCTCCCGGCATTGTGCCCATCTTTGCGCGGACTTTCGGCTATATCAGTATGCTGGCAGTCACCATTCAGCTGTTCTTCCCCTGCTCGCCCCCGTGGTACGAGAACCTGTACGGTCTGGCACCAGCAGACTACTCGATGCAAGGTAATCCTGCAGGTCTTGCTCGCATTGACAAGCTCTTGGGCATCGACCTCTACACCTCAGGCTTTAAGCAATCTCCGGTTGTCTTCGGTGCCTTCCCGTCGCTGCACGCCGCCGATTCGACTCTGGCAGCACTTTTCATGAGCCTGGTTTTCCCTCGCCTGAAACCATTGTTTGTGACGTATACCCTTTGGATGTGGTGGGCAACCATGTATCTGTCCCACCACTACGCGGTTGACCTGGTTTGTGGTGGACTTTTGGCCACGGTTGCGTTCTATTTCGCGAAGACTCGGTTCATGCCTCGCGTTCAATCCGACAAGATGTTCCGATGGGACTACGACTACGTGGAATACGGCGATTCAGCTCGGGAATATGGCTATGATCTGGCAGGCTACGATGGCGACTTCAACCTTGACAGTGATGAGTGGACGGTTGGCTCATCTTCCTCCGTCTCATCCGGCTCTCTGAGTCCCATCGATGACCACTACACCTGGGAAGGCGAGGCTCTTGCTTCCCCTGCCTCCGATATCGAGTCCGGAAGGCATATGTTCAGCCCGTGATTCAGCCTTCAACTTGCATATACCGCACTCGCGTGTTTCATCTATTGACGAACGGCGTTTTGACCATTTTACGACATGCTGGATTCTTATTGCATTGAGCAGATTTCGACACATATATTTTTAATACGCCTGGTTTCCTCCTCGGCACATCCGGCTTAATGACACCCCGGATCGCGCCGTTTTTTCCTCACACATCTTCTACTGTACATGCAAACGCTGTTGCGAAATTAGTCGGGCTGTATGATGCGATCCTACGGCCCCGCGTCTCCTTGAAACTCCGTCAATAATCTTAATTCAAAAGGTCTAGCGGGCTTGGCGCGATTTTCGCTGCTGAAGAGCTTGAGCTTTCCTGGTGTCCTTGGAGTCATTCGCTTGTACACTGCTATCTGGACCATTCCAGATCGGACAATCTTGTCCCATTCCAACTACAGTCTTTCGCTATTCTTCAGCTGGTCGAGCGTTTTCATTCGCTTTTCTTTCTTGTACTCGGCCAGGTACATATGCTTTTTATTAACATTCTTGTCGATCGCTCACACCATTGGCGCCTGGTATTGGGGACCATGATGGAAAGAGAAAAGTATTGGGGGCGCCTTTTGCATGCACTTCACTCGTTGTGCTTAGAAGGGGTTAATGCTTGTTTAATGACCTTTGCATTGGTATATAGAGCGGGGCCAGGACTACCTGATTTCCCCCCTCGCGTGGTGGTTTGTCTTGGAGCATTCTTCTATAAATAGGACATTGGTGATGCAGAGCGGCCGTTCTGATCCGTTGCATCTACCAAGTAATGGAGACCTTGGGGAGGCATCGGTACTTCGAAGTGGCTGGGCGACAGATGCAGACGGAGTCATCTTGCCCAAGGTTGCACACCCTTTGCTGTTGAAAACACTTTTATGACTTGACGTTTCTCTGCTGGACACCAACATCCATAGTGGAATGTGTGCCACAGAGTTCGTTGGATGCTTTTTATTCCATGGCATTATTATTAATTATAATCCCATCGGTAGCGTTATGATTTATGAAGAACTTTTGTACATTACTTTGATTCTTGTGTATACATCTTGGCTTTGACAATTTCAATGGCCTGAATTACTTATATGATTTCTTTAGTAGTAGATTTCCATTTGAGTGAAGGTACGACTATTCCCCTTGGCCATTGCTTGACCACTTTGTACTACTACTAATTTACAACCTTTTAACCCGTATCTTGCCATATCAGTCCATCAGAGGAGTAACAAAACAGTCCAGACTTGGCCCAAAGACATGAGTAATGGAACCACATAATGTCCTTACCATAATCCCCTGAGGGATGATATAGACGGGTTATCATTTGCCTCCCACTACCAACTTCTCTGAGCAGTAGACGAACCCCCAGTTTCTTCATCCCTACGGGGTGAAGTCGCCAGCAGTATTGGGGGCTGTTGTGATGGCTGAAACCTTCTCGGCATCTACTTGGAATGCATTTTCATTATTTGCCTGCTCAGAACGAGGTCTCCCATGTGCGCGGAAAGCTCTAGCCTCTGACACAGGACGATATACCCTTAGCGGATAGAGATTCGATCCCGTGAGCTCCAACCACTTATCCATCGACTCACAGATTGCATCAGCAGCATAATGGCTTGGCGCGCTAAAGACAACGTGGAAATTCAGTGAGATTAATATCGAAGCTATTGCGACGAGGGTGAATGTCTTTCCTGTTCCGGGGTACCCTTGTATGAGAAGGATACCGTTCGGAAGCGACCTGATGGAATTGATGCAGGCAATCTGGCTTTCTGACCACTCGATACCCGACTGCAGGACTTCGCTTATAGCGGCCTGCACAGTCGCGGAAGGCAGATTTAGTCCTGAGAATGGATTGATCAGGTCTCTGGGGCCCCGCATTCCTATTGAGAGAGCCATTGGACAGTGCCTCCAGGTGAGGAAGGGGTGTGCATAGGCGATTGATCGCGTCCACCTGTCGCTGTGCGCCCGATCTGGGGACGGATATTTTTAGCTTGGCCGGAAGAAAACGAGGCTGCCGTCCGACTTCAACAGCAAATGCAGAGTAGTAAGATACGTTGGCACCTGGTATCAAAAACAGCAAGCCAGTCGGGTAGGGCAGACTGAAGATATTCTGAGCCACTATTCCTTTGCACCCGATGTCTCCCAGCTTGATCTTGTGTGGGGGCCGGAATTTAATCTCGACAGCCGTATGTTCACGCGGCACCCAGTGTTCGATACCGACGTCCTCAGGCATATTCAGCTGAACGAGGGCCAAAACAGTGGAGGGCTTAACAACAAGAAATGAGACAGAATGTTGCCTACGCGAGACAGTCTATGCAATCTGGGCTTCCATTTTCCATTCAAGGAAGGCGCCGTACGCGAAGATGATACGATTTTCCTCTAGCGTCGCGAACGAAGTGTATGATGGGATTGGCACGAGACCGTTGCTTTCATCTGCAGCTATCTTCCGCTTCACGAATTGGCCCCATTGGCAGATAGGGTTTCCGCGCACATCCCCGGTAGGGCGCCAGAATTGGCCGAGTACCCTCCATGAAATGTTCGAATTGCTGAAAGAAACGCTCCTGTTCTTCACCTTTACGCTTTGTGCGGGTGTTTTGCAGCTCATACTCTATGTATCTCGCATTGAGACGGAAAATCACTCGCTTCTGGGAGGGGTCGCTATTGAAGTTGGTTGCCAGCTGCTTGGTGTACCAGAGTATTAGACGGTCTTCCTTGTTAAGGAATTCAGCGTCGAAGTCAAGGCCGATACCAACGCCGCCGTGGGTCACAAACCGTATAATGACGTAGCTGTTTTGCTTGAGAGCGTCGTCGACGTGCTCATTCTGCTTTTTTCGGCGATTTGATCTGAATTCCTTGACAGTCCTGTTCACGAACTCGTAGTGCATGACATGAGTGCGAGCATGGAATTTGAGAAAAGCCTTGTGGACGATGTTCGAATCATGGTCAACGGTGAGCTCAATGACGATCTTGCAAGCGAGGTTGGCACCACAAACTCTCGCCCTCATGTTGACTCCAGTTTCTTTCTGAAACCAGGAGTATGGTAGATAATTCTGTTGTGGGCGCCCATTCAAGCCCAAACACATGCACAAGGAACTGTGCGTTTTTCCACTGCGTGCCATTGAAGTTTTTTGCAGCCTCCGAATCCCTCGGCTGAACCACAATAAGCTTCTGAGGGTCGTCTTCCTGTTTGGCGGGCGCGATGCTAGGAGCCTGGTCAATCTCAGCAAGTTATCCAACTGCGTCAGGACGTTGTTACTACTCACAAAATCGCGCTCATAAACGAACTCGCTGAATTCGGTGTCGTCAGGTTCGTACTGCTCAGTGAAAGGAGCTAACTGAAGTAAAGGAATGTCCTGAGCTGGGACATTCTCAGCCTCGTTGGAGTCTAGATCTGCAGATTGGACGGTCGAGACGTCGTCGGAGATGTTCACAGCCTGAGACGCGTTGATATCAGGCAAGTTCGATGGGGTGTCGTTCAAATGTGTCTCGGAGGAAGCGAGGTCGCTTTCTGGAGGCAACTGGATTTCGACTGTCTGGCTTGTATTGTTGGCAGCATCGTCTGCTTGCCAGCCAGAGGTGACGTCCAAGGCAGGAACGTCCCAATCAGACATTGTGAGTCTATCATGTGGTCAGTTAAAGAGCCTAGCAGAAACCAGATAAATAGGGACAAGAATATTAGTAACACAGATGCTCATGGTAAAGTGGCATTACTGAGGCACACTGCTAAATTGAGCGCGAACAAGAGACCTAGGACTTATTTTAGAGGAGTGATCTCCTTGATAGGGCTACGGAAGCAAGTCTATCAAGAAAAGAAAAGTAAGGAGGAAACAAGGATGGATGAGGGAAGAGGGGGGTCAAACTGTGAAGGATGATGAGGAGAGGCTCTAACGCCAGGAAGGGAGACCCAAGTCTAAATGTTGAGGATACGTGACTTTGGTGGATGTCCGAACTTATCGAGGATATGGTCACAGGTTCGACAGAGAGAGAGAGAGGCAAGACATAGAGGGGGTAGGATGGAGGAAAAAAGAAGGGAAGAAAAGGAGAAGAGGTCCTTAACGGGAGGAGGAGACCAGGTGTGATATGGGGAGTCCTTCACTGTCAGGAGATTGTTGCCTATTTCCCTGTTGTAGCTCAGGCACATTCTCTCTATTCTTTCATGGGTGGTTTTACGTTTCAGTGAATTAAGCACACCAAGAATCGCTGAACAAGATGTGTGCCTTTCTTCGGGCGTATATCTGAGTTAATTTCTAGACATCTACAATCAGAATACGTATCTTAGATGGAGAATCAATGCTCCAAGCTAGGGATATCTACCGTGATCCAGCCGCAGAGAGTCTCCAACCTCTCCACGCTCTATAGAACTCTTCTTTGCGTCCTGAGAGGGTCTAGGAGTATATGAGGAAGTGCTCATACCACGTCGAATTTGTAGAGTCACACTGGGTGCTTGTTTCCCCCTCAGACTCTCAAGAGTGGCGAAGTTTTCCATGGGACAGATAGGGTGAATCTCTGATGGCCATGGCATGACCCAAAGAGGATTCGACTTTTATGGGAATGAATACAGTGGCATCCGTTCCGTTCAGAAACTCGGGTGAATTTTAGGGCTAATAGCCACATTTCTAGTATCAAGTGCGAGTGTCTATCAAATAGACATGATCGTGCAATTACACGCCTTTTAAGGAATAATGGATATTACATCTAAAAAGGAACGAACAAAGCGAGATAGTGAGCCTTTTCTATTTCTCGTTCGTCAACGAGGGTATTTGGATTTTCTGGTATATTTTTTAGAACGAAAACAGATAAAGGCTCTTGTGACCTGAATGCTTGGTGAATTTCCTATCCAGTCTTAATTTAATTGACTTCTTATAAAATTACCTTCATCTACACAAACACATTTCCCTTCTTCATTTATTTTTATTTTTATATTTTTTTAACCAACTGTTAGTGTTGACCGTTCTATTTTCTCAGACTTGACATATTCTCTGTTTATTGACACTTTTGCCGATATTTGATCAAAATGGCAGAAGTAGGCTGCCATATATACTTTGCGCTCCAGGCATTTTCAAGGATATCACTCCGCTATCCACTTCGAAAGGCCCCTATGCCACTCCCCGGTCCCGGCCTACCCTAATGATATCCAGTATAACTGCGACGGGACTTCGAAGGGCCGGTGGGCCAAAGCTGTGCGAAATACCGTACAACAGCCGCAGACTCTAGAACGAACAAATTCCATTTCAGGAACTGCGGTCCATTGTTCAGACTTGGGATACGGTTGATGGAGTGCACGCCGTGCTATGACGACTCTGCAGAACCGATCCGAACATTACAGGTTAGCGTAGATACGCTCGGGAGAACTGGCTCCAAGCAGCACAGGAGATGCACGATCTTCCTGTTAAAACTACAAAGGAGGAAGCCAAGCTATGCCGTTAGTGAGAGAAGGAAGAGAAGCAATGAATTTATTGAATAAAGAAAGATAAGCAACTAAACCTCCGACAAGCAAAGGAAAGGAAACAGCAAAAAGAAGACCGGCAAGAGGACCCTGCTAGCTAAGAATATTGATAACAGAACACCCCCCGGTTTGATAAAATAAACGCCCTTGTTCTACCCTTTGTCTCACATTTGCCAGTCTTCACGTTCCATAGTCGCATGTGAGTTGAAAGACTTGCCGACTATGCCGATGTAGAGATCTTCTTGCTTGGTGATAGAGACCTCCTAATACGTCTTCCCAGAGATTTCAACCAAGCTTTACCGCGACGGCGCACACATGCATCTTGAACAACTCTTTGGGCATGAAATAACTCCATTCTCTCTACGAATTCCAGGATTTGGGAAACCACCACCAGAGTCTCTGCTTCCGGTTTCTGTAGCTCCAGCAGGGAGGATGCTAAATAACCCACGGGACGCTCGAATGGAGGGCCTTGGTCATCAAGAGGCTCAATATTGAAGCCACTGGCGCGAAGGGTTCTGTAATATGGTGCTCGACGTTCTTGCCAATTGGGCATAGATGTTTGGATTCTCGCGATCCACTGCCGGCGATCCCACAACAGGCAAATTTGGTTATTTGGCATAGGCAATTTGAACGTGCTAATGATATAGTCTGTCAAAAGCCCCATTTCCCATCTGAACCGGATTGTAGAAGCGATAGTTGAAGCTTCGTCTTCAAATTCATCAAATTCATAATACCCGCGTAACGTGCCACCAAGAGCGACTTCCCACCCATGATTCCAGTCCCCAGGGCAGGTCTGTCTGAAAAGAAAGGCCATTTCTTTGATTCTCTCGTGGCAAATATTGTCAGTCATGGCATCAATGAGATCATCCGCAGAACCTATCCCGGCGGTTCGATTGAAGCTAGAGCCGGGTATAAAGTCGGTATTCATTGGTGTCGGGTTTCTCTCGGCTCTAAGATTCTCTGGACCGGTGTATGGGTATGTAACAAGACGGCTCCAACGTTGTTCAAATTCCGTAAGGGGAATACCAGTGCGACCAGTCCAGGAATACTCCCACTGGTCATCTTGGGCACTGAAGGTAAAAGACTGGCTTGTCCAGAGTTGGTTGATTTGGCTTGCACATGTCCTCCAGATTTCATGGCAGAAAGCATTGTAGGTCAATGTTTGCTCAGAGCTCGGCTCCTCAGGCTGTAATTGATCAGATCTCTGGGGTAAATCCTCAGAGCTCCCTCTAATTGCCAATACCTTATTAAGCTCAGTAACCAAGGGGCTAGTAACGGTGGATAGAGTATTTATGAGCATACTCGCAAACACAGACCCGCATGCACGGCCCATGCTGTGAGAATCTGGCCAAGCATTTGATAATCCGGATTCTCCGTCCTCTGCAGTGGCTGCAGCCATTATAGTATGATTAAAATCAGGACTTGTGACCCATCCGCCCGAAAAACATGCTGTAGTGGTCAAAGTGACTGAGATACCTGGCTCCAAAACAGCTTCAAGTCGTGTGATGCTCAAGCCCCGTTTTTGGTTACCATTATTGAGAAGTAGCTGGAAGTTGGGGAGTCCGTGTGAGAATACCATGATCAAAAGAGGGGCTTGCTTATGTTTTGCCTTTTTGGATGCTCGTTGAACCTCTCCAAGAAAGCGATCAATCATGGCGCAAGCGCTGACAACTGTTACTGGGGTAAATGCGTTACTGTCAAGAAGCTCCTGGCTAAGAACCACCTTCCTATCTTCGTAAGGGTTACCATGAAGGAAGGGACCATATTTTTTAACAAGTGTCTGGGGGTCAGCTGCTGTAAGCCAGGTTTGGCTTGATCCCAGGCCTTTCAATAGATAATTGAAGGCATAAAAGTCTGACAAAAACCATCCGTCCTTCCTTCTATGGCCAGTCAGGACAGTTGGGTGCGTTGCGGCCACAATAATAGTGTTGTCATGGATCACAGGCGGTGTTGAGGTGAGAAACATCGATGGTGTTCGGCCAGGCTGACGGATATGGCCCCCCCGGGTTAGAGGCTCCATGATGGACTCACTGATATGATGGAAATGTGATATAATAGTATTAGGTGATTGATCCTTTAATGAAGTTAGTATCACGGAGTTGCCTTTTTTCTGTTAATCGGTTGGAACTGAATGATTGTTCACGAGGCAAGATGTAATTAGGAAACTGCGACTTTATCGAGCGGATGATACCAGCGCCTGCCCTGGAGAAACAGTGTAGACAAGCTTATTCTCTGAAAAAGGCGGATGAGAGTGAAAGCCAAAGGATGCAGGAAAGATTCTGAAGTTGAAAGGGCCGAGTTTATATAGAAAAAAATCCTGGAATGACCTAAGTATAAGTGAATAATGATGGTACTTAGGCAACACTCACCTGACACCCTCTTGAAGCGACAGCGTCCAGATCAGGCAGGCAGAAGGTGCTAGTAGGGTTTTTCTTATTACATCGAAATACCTCTGCTATCTATACAAAGTCCCCTTCTCAAAAACCCACTAACAAACATAAAGAGGACATAAACATCATCCGTTCACTAACCACGCATAATACATAACAGAATTATCTCTTGTATAATAGATATATGCTAAGAATATTTCAAAAGAAAGAAAGGAGAGAAAATCGTGGGGGTATTAAATCTATTTATCTATTACTCTTCGAAGATCTGCACCCGGTCTGCGTACTCTTTGATTTTCGAGACGAAGGTTTCTTCGATTTCGTCGCCGTGGCCACCTGCTACGCGCAGGATGAGTTCGTTGAGGGAGGCTCGACCGAGGATGTCAACGTGGTCGCCTTTTTGATTGTTAGCTGGAGTTTACTAGAATCGGAAATGGAGGTTTGTTGTTGCATGTTGGTTGCATGTGATGTAGGGTCATGTAGTAGGGGATGGAAAAGGAGATGTATGTACCTGTGTTTGGACCACCGCGTGGTGAGAACCTGTCTGGTTCGTGCGGCATTTCGAAGACCTTGATTTTGACTCCGGCTGGGTTGTACCGTTTGATATTCCATCCCTTGGCGCACATATAGCCTGTGCTGAGAAGGTTAACGGTGCCGTCGCCTTCGCCCATGACGACGCCGTGGTCGACTCCGTCGCTGTTGGTGACCGTGGTGTCGATGCTGACGTTTAGGTTGACCAAGGGGTCACGCTCCTCCTGGTAGTAGTAGCTGCGTTCGGTTGGTTTGCCGACGCCGTAGAAGCAGTAGATCTTCATATCCGGGGCGAATGGCAAACGGGCCTCGAGGGGGTTGAGCCATGTGCGAGGGTCGTTTTCGTTTGCTTCGACTTGCGCGGTAGTGTGTGCGACTCCGTGCGAGTAGCTGGTCTGTACTTGATTGCGGTACCATTCGTCGCTCGTGTTCAAAAGATACGCCAGACTTTCGGAGACTGTGAGGTTCTTGGATGTCAGGGACGAGTTGCTCTGCTGGAACTTTAGCAGATTTCCGTAGCTCGTGTGCTGGCCGGGCTGGTCGTCCGGAGCCCAAGTTGCATTGCCCCATACAGCTTCTCCGCCCTTGGGAAGCATGCTCGAGATGCCGGGCATAGCCCGGAAGATTTCAGCTCGTTCCTCCTTGGACAAGAACTTTTCCAAGCCGTACACGGCGAAGGCGTTCAGTTGAGCGGTATCCCTCATTTCACCCGAGAGGACGGCCGTCAGACCCTTGACGGCGCCCAGCATACATCCACTGATGTTGATCCAGGAGGCGATGTGTTTGTTAACCCAGTCACTACCACCCTTACCATGTTCCGGATGTTCAACCCATTTAAAGAAATAGAAGAGCACCTGCGAGCCCATGCTGTGCGAGGCTAGAGCCACCTTTTCTCCCTTCACGAGAACGGCAGTCTCGATGTAGGACTTCAACCGACTGAAGTACTGGTCACGGATCTCCAGGTTCAGATAAGACAGTCTCCAATCATAAGCGGCAGTAAAAGCATTCGTCGGATCATACCCGATGGTCGCGAGGTTCTCGAGAATCTTGTTCCAGATCCAGTAGCCGGTGATGAAGAAATCAGTCGCGTCAAAACCCTGTGCTGCTCGTAGCTTGATTCCGGGAGGGTCCAACCCGGTATTCTTATCCAGCATGATATGGTTTTTCCACTCTGCCTTATCCAGGACCAAAGCGCGCATCATACTCCAACTGCCCCAGAGTCTCCGACGGAAGTACTGGCGGGACGACACCTCAGTGCCCCAACTCTCGAGCCCAGTGGAGATAACGCCGGGGATCATGACAATGGGATGTTTGGCTTCAATACCTTGCGATTGAAGTTGTAGACCGACGGAAAATGAATCATAGCTGACAGCATCGCGCTCATGTTGCTATCCGACAGAATACAATCAGATTAGATCACCACCTGCATGAAGGAAAGAGGGGTTGGCATACCGAGAACTCCCTCACATCTTTCACAATGCCCTGCGGTATGACATCCATCAACGTATCCAAGTTCAGATCCATCAGCGCATCGAGACTGATCACATCTTGCTGGTTAGCGAAAAACGCGGCGACGAGGATTCCGAAGATGCCGCCCAGCACGAAGATGAGACCATTGCGACGTTTACTCCGCGGCTTCGTCACGAATGACTCTTTTTTCGGTTTCTCGGGTGGCGTCGCAGTTTGTGTAGCGGGGACTACTTTGCTTTCATCCTGAGACGAGTCCGTAGGAGAGGATTGGACATTGTCGTCCTTAGCCAGGCGACGGCGGAGCATATGGGCGATCGCCAGGAACACGGAAGGCAATGGGTGGAATTGACAGCCGCGGATAGAAGGAAAGAGGTAGACTCTTGAGTATATATCAAGTAAGAAAATACTCAACAGAACAGATAGCCAGAAAAGTGAAGTCGTGAGGAAAAAGTAGGGAGAAGAAAAAAAAAAAAAAAAACACAAGGTGAAGAAGATGAGAAACGGAAATCACATGCTTTCTGAAGTTGCAGTCGAAATGGGACGTCATGAGATTTAATCCTAAAATTACGAAGTCCGCTTTCCTCCCTTTGTACCTGAAACTCTCTTACTCTTACTTCCTCAACCCCCTCAATTCCCCACACTCGCTCAGAACTATTCCACCACCCTCCCGCACTTGTCGCTGATTTCCAAAAACACGATTGAAAGATTGGATTCTCTCAATGAGTCCGAATACGCGGCCGGAATGAGCCATGACGCTACTCCCACCGCAGCCTCCGCTGCACCACCAGACCTCCGCTACATCCGCTATGACGGCGCACGCGAGGACGCATATGTCGCTGCCATGCGGCAACTAATCTCCAAGGACCTCTCCGAGCCGTACAGCATCTACGTTTACCGGTATTTTCTCTACCAATGGGGCGATCTCTGTTTCATGGCCATGGACGACACACTGCCGGACCCGATGGTCGGGGTCGTGGTCTCAAAGCTGGAACCACATCGCGGCGGCCCATTAAGAGGGTATATTGCAATGTTAGCGGTGCGCGAAGAGCATCGAGGCCGGGGAATCGCAACGAAATTGGTCAGGATGGCGATCGATGCGATGATTGCGCGTGATGCGGATGAGGTTTGTTGCCCGGGTCCAACAGGATTGCACATGTGCTTCATTCAGAAGGGAATATACTGATAGGAGGGGCCTGCAGATCGCGCTCGAGACCGAAATCACCAACACGGCGGCCATTAAGTTGTATGAACGACTGGGGTTCCTACGCAGTAAAAGATTGCATCGATACTATTTGAACGGTAACTCGGCCTATCGCTTGGTGCTATATCTCAAAGAGGGCGTGGGGTCTATGCGGACGGCGTTCGATCCGTACGGGCCCCCTGATATGTCCGGCCCAATTGCTCCTCCGCCGCCAGCTTTGCTTCATGGAAATGGCAATCAATGATGTATGAGACCGGTTGGCAGTTCGCTTCTTGTGAATAACCTATAGACTACGCAATTACGACAATAGAGAATATGAGTGACGAATACATATTTCACGATCTATCCCAATGAACAGTAGGGCTGGGCAGCCGAAGTCTATTTCTATAGTATCTATACATGGCATTATATAGAAAAGAGGAGGGGTTAGTATACAGAGGTATAATGTACAGAAAAGTCAGACGTAAAAGCGCTGTTGAGTTCATACATGATATGTGAATAGCTGCTGGACAAATCTGTAGCCCGTACAGCCAATATTATATGCAGTAAGTGGGTGAGTCACCGATCAACTGGTACAGTACACAGTTCAACCCCAGGCAAGGCAGTTCAACCACGTTTACTGCAGATAGTTCGACTTTCTTTTCACAGAGACTTTAATAGCATTTTGCATTAACCACTGTGTTGGTCGAGGGGCTGACTTCCACGCTTGATCCAGGACGGCTGCGGCCTCCAACATGATATTCAATGACCTCGAGGGCCGGTACATTGCACCGACTTCCGTATCACGTAATACCAGTTTAGAAGCCAGGAGTTGCTGCTTCTCACGCTCTCCACCAGTAGGCTTGAATCCAGTTGCAAGAGAAGCGACTGGATTCCGATTGAACTCAGATGGTACAAGATCCGCAAATGACTCTTTTAGGGGATAATCCGGAAGATGAAGATCAATCCCCACGATGACTTTGCCTGCACTGGTCAGCCAAAGTTGATTGTATTGACCACCAGTCTTTCGAAATGATGTATTGCGGAGTAACGATGTAAGCACAGACTGTCGCATGTTGTATGTTACGCCTCTATACATGCACGCATATCTCCATAGCACACGACAGATGTTGTAGTGTCGCCCTTTGAAGGCCATCAAGAACATTTTCTCCCAGGAGTCTTTTGTGAGCACACGCTCAGGACGGTCGATGAATTGAAATAAGAACCGGAGGAGGGAAAAGATATCCTTGCGAAACAGAAGGACAATTTGGTTGACGGTAGAACCCTTGACAGCAAAGCCTTGCTGTTTGCATATTTGGAGTAACCGTTCCATGGCCGAAAAGTCCTTCCGCCGGGCAGCAACGTTCAACATTTGATTGATCAATGATGGAGGGAACCAATTGGCACCTTGTGTGTCAATAAGCATATTAATGAACGAGTCAACGCTTTTCCCGCCTTCGAGATGTGCACGAAAAGTGTTTTGTATCGTCGCCTGCAGCGCCGTCCGCATGGCGCTAGATTCGTTGAGATAGCCTTTTTGCATCATACGCGAGACAAGACTCGCCTTCGCTTTGGGTGAGACAAGGCAGTCAAGGAATGTAAGCCAGGTATATGGATTTGGCCGGATATTCAACCGCGGCATTGTCAGCAGAAACTGGCGAAACAGCCGCATATCCTGCTTTTGGGCCGCAAACTTCAACAAGATATTGAAGGAGTCTACAGTTACGACGTGCTCGGCTCTCAGGAAGATCATGCGCGCGTACCTCACAAACTCATGGTCAAGGAGGAAAGACAGTGCTGTATTCAGTGCAGCAGTCGACAAAAAGCCATGGTACCGCTCGTTTTGAAACAATGAAAGGAGGGATTTGGCCACTTGCTTTTGATGAGAGCTGCCCGGAGAGGCCTTGTAAGAAGGCAATGACCGCGCGACTTCATCCACATGCTCCGCAAATTCCCTGACACTCGACAAATTCTGGGAAAGGGGGAGCAGCGTTCCCAAATTCGCGGGATCCTTCGCGGATTTGTAAAAGTCCCATACACCCCGAATAATGGGAACCGGAATATTCTTCCGCGCCATGGTTTCCAATGAAGGAAACACCGGGATCGGTGGCTTTCTGATATCGACCAAAGGGTCACCCATTTCTTGAAGGCTCTTTGCATGCGTAATACGATCCCCCACAAGCTCCACCACTCGTTCGGAACCAGACAATACAACCTTCCTGTATTGGCCTTCGCTCTCCCGTGGATGTAGCACATGGACCTTACACCCATTGTGCACTGGCACGTACCAGACATTTTCCTTCATGGCCATGTCCGTAGCACCCGCAAGAAGAGCAACAGTCTCCTCCGGCAATAGCATCTCCTTGTGCTTTATGCCTCTCTTCTTCCACACCGTAGTGTTCTGCTCCATTCGCTCGAACAACTCCTCTAGTTTTGTCCACAGGGTCCACCTCCATTTCGCCTCGGGGTTCATCCGCTTAGTGAAAAACAAACGACACCTTAACTTCCGCCTATCCCTAACAGACAATGATTTCATAGTAGCACGCGCTCTCTCATGAGACTGATTCTTGGGAAGGGCTGCCAATGGCCTCGCATGCGTTTTCAGGTCTCTCCCTCTCGGGGCACTGGATTTCGGAGGAGGCGGTGGTGGTGGTGATGGACGGGAAGGTTTCGAGTCGATATCGGCAAATATATTAAACAAGCGTTTTCGTCTCTCTTCAAGCGACTTGCTCCGTTCCGGGGAATCGGACAACGAAGGCTTTGAACTCGTAGTGTTTTTTGGTGGACTCACGCCGTCGCGTTCTACTTCACCCCCTGTCCGCCCATCTTTTCCACTCTCTAGTGTAGCAGTAGGTTCAACATTCTGCTGTGAGCTTCCAGCCTCAATCACATCGGTTTTGGCTGCATTGTTACTAGACGCCCACCGTTTCGTAGAACCCCCGAGTGATAACCTCCGGCGCGTCCCCGGAACGAACCCGCTCGCGTTGCATATTCTCGCTGTACATTTAGAAGTGCATTTGATTGACGAGATTGACCGCCGTTGGCGGACTGCAGCTGTGAACCAACGGGGGTAGAGGAACAGGAGAGGTTCGTCGGGGCCAGCCGCAACGGTGTCTAAGACGGTGGATAATACACGTCTTTTCAGACACGGGCGGCCATGCGATAACATCGAGGAGTATACGGAGCAAGTGCCTGAGTCATGGAAAGGGTGAAGAATCGCGGGGAAGTTTGGGTTTGCTCCTGTCTAAAGAGGTCGTTTTTTCAAGCTGCGGGCGAAGCTCTCCGGCGCGGAGATTCTAGAAAATGTTTGCCGTGTCGGAATGGCAGGCGGTCAGTGCTCTCCAGGAATCGGACCGATACTCGCCGTAAAACAAGATGTATAGTCTCCGCAGATTTACTATTCGCATATAAGAGTACCATGATAAAATAAAAAGTGGTTATTGAAGATAAAAGAAGCCAATGAGAATATATAGGTAGGTCGTACGGAGTGGGTGGCCTCAAGGATGTTCACCTGACCCGTACTCTGGACCAGCCAAACCGGGTATACTACATAGAATCAAGATGTATACTGATAAATGTGACCTTCGCGCCCAATCTCCGCCGCCTGAGGAATGCCTTTAATTTCTCCACCATTGTCTATTGGCTTGTGGGAGAATTTCCCCGAGGACCTAGACAAAAGACTCTCCCTCTTCGCTTCCGGAGTCAAATCCAACATCTCTGACATTTCCCGAGCAGGCACTCGTCCCTCAGGGGCGAAGACCTCTGGCCCAGTGAGATAACGCTTTGCTGTGGCTACAGCATTTGAGAGATAGTCTTTTTGCCGTTGGCTCTCCTCCGCATCCATACCACTGGACTCGGACTCCTTCCCAGATAACTCCTCGATGATGCTAGTTATATAGGTCACTAGTTGCCACCGCGAGGCTTGGAAGACAAACAGTGACATTATATCCTGCATCTAGATATCTTCAGCAAAAGTGTAATAAATGCATGAGTTAACATGTGCTTACCTTTCCATCTAGATAGTATAGCTCTTGGCCCCCCTCCGCCACAAACCTTCTGAGGATATCGAACTTCTCACGGTCTATCTGTGCATTTTTCAGGGCATACATGAGAGTTGGAATATTTCCAATCTCTTCCAGAGGACCTTCTTCATCCACAGTGGTCGTCGCTCGACTCAAGTAGGTGGATGGCCCTTGGGAACCCCGCCCTGCACTTGCTGCTCTTTTCTTCTTGGCAGTATGAATAGTAAAGTAGTCCTCGTTGAGCATATGAGCCATTTCAAAGCCTGACCGGCCCCGGCGACTTCTTTCCGAAGCCTTCTTAACCCGTAGTCTGACCCATCGCCTCCTGCGAACAAACGAATGAAACCAAGGGTGGGACCCATGCCAGGCTGACGAGCCAAAGGAGAAAGCATACTGCCAGCCTTGATCATCCACATCGCCAGACATGTCCACGTACCATGTCTTCCACGCCCACTCCCAGCTCGGATCCGGCACCTGCGCATTCGTGATATTGACCGGACTATCTCGAAAGTCGTAGGTGACCCAGGCAGCTGGATCGAAATTGAGAAGAGAACCGTGAGAATAAAGAGGGATGCCAAAGAAGAACCAGCCCCGCTGGTTCTCGTAAAGAATGTCTAGCTCGCTGCCAGGTTTGAGGCCACTGACACCATGGCCGGTCACTGATGCAGGGCCATCATTTTCTTGCTCTGCGGCGCCGAAATCACGTTGTTCAGTAGTTGGCAAGGTCGAAGCATCGACAAGGCTTTCGCCCTCAGTATTTGTATATGTAGCTGTCAGAGACAGTCTGGCATCCGATGGGCTTCTGTCCGGGTCGTCGTCTGTGATTCCCAACTTGTGTGGTTGCCATTTTTTATATTTGCGCTTGGTCAGTTCACGACGCACCGAGGGTTTTCTCCATCTCCTGGATGTGTTTCTTGACAGATCATCAGCTGTGGTGACCTCAGAAAGGCTTTCATCTTCGGAGAGTCGACGGTTGGGGGATGTGTTGTCGATCAAGTTCAAGCTGGGGCGGCTCTCCATGGTGGTTTGGGGATTGACCAATAACAAGAGCGCAGCACAAATCCTGCAATGGCACTATTACTATGCCCCGACCATCATCGCATATCAGATAACTGAGCCTGTTGGTGGCTGATGCTAGGGCGCTATAAAGGGGGAGTAGATAATGCGATAAGAGATAAAGGAGGGAAGCGAGACAATTCCGGGAATTTAGAAATTAGGAATTAGGCAAACATAAGTAAAAGACGGGGAAGAAGGAAAGAAAAGTTGGGAATATGACTAAAAACTACTACACTAACTAGTAGTCGGGTCGTATATCAACCTAATGTGAAGAAACTTGGCATCGGACGAAAAGCAAGACCTTCAGCTGAAGCCAGCTGAAAAGAAAAAGTAAATCGATGACATCGTTTGCGGGGCGCCTACTCATCGGATCGACGCCGACCTTTTTTTTTTTTTTCTCTATTTATCGGTGCCTGAGGCTAGCCGCATCCAGGCCTTACTCCTCTGTCCCGCTGCTTTGGATAGTAGTAAATACCCGCACCCGACGCGTTGATACATGCGGAGCCCCCGAGGACGAGAAGTATCCAACGGAGAGAAGACAGATCCACGCATATCACACCACCCAAAATTCTTTCACGCATTGGTTAGCTAGACCACCGGATAAAATGGGAGAATCAATGCATCGCAAAATCGAGCTTCAAGCCCCCGCCGATTTCACATACCTTTATGGCAACACTGTCGCCCTCTCGCGCCAAAAACTCGACCTTCATTTACCTCCCTCTGCAAACCCTGAAGATGGACCGGACCCAATGCGCGAGCGGGTGCGTGAGCTAGTCGATGAGGTACATAGCTTAATCTCTCAACGATATACCGACTTGAGCCCCCTAATACTGATGGACATGCGAAACAGTATATATTACGTACTTTCACATCGGCTTCCTCCTCGATAAGTATTAACGGTCTCGACTCTTCATCGCCTCAGTTTCCCTTTCCGGCTGCTTTCACTGCGCCCGCAGAGACAGTCGAATACGAACCGTATGACGGGCATCTTGCATCGCGTGTGACTTCGCTCTACGCACAGTTGGAATCGCTTACGACGACAGTAGCACAGTTAAGACGGGATGCGCCGCGACGTGCGGCGGAGACATATGCAGCGGAATTAAAGAAGGTGATAGAGGAGGACGAACATGATGATCTGGAAGATGAGGAATCTCTGGAAAGTGGAGAAGACCACGAGAGACAAACAACGGAAGACGTCGACATGCCTGATGCAGACCAGGGCCAGAAAGACAATGCCAGCGATAGTCCCAGTACGAATGGCCCACGCCGGAGATCAGCGAAAACGAAGTGGGATTTACATGTGCCCTTAGGCACCGACCATGAAGCGGAACTATGGCGCACTGGGGAGGTGGCAGAAGTATATGAGGATACATTACGGACTTTACTTCGACTCCAGGGTGAGGCTGTTCCTGGCGATGAGACGAATGCCACAACAGATGGGGCCGCCGATGGAAATGCTGTAGCATCGACAGTCGGGAAGGCTGAACGAGCCAGTCAGGCAGTTGAAGTCGTGGAGAAGAAGTGACCGCCTATGGGTCTGTTTTGTCACTTTTCACTTTGCAATTCGGGTCTGTTGGTGTTTGGCGCTAGGCATGGAATGATACCAGTAAATACTCGACTATGATTGATAATCTGCTATTGGGAATAATGATCGATATCGACTATTCAGGAAATAACTTGTGTTACGTGTTCAGGCCAACATACCATGTTACAACTCACCCTTTCCGTAACCAATACGCACCAAGTTGTATATTGAACTCGAACCCCGAATCCCTAATCAGACAATCACTTTTATATTCTGTCCCAATATTTACTCTTCTCCGCTCCATCTATAAAAGCACCTCACGCCGCTCATGTTGCGTTGTTTAATATCTAATGTCAAGCCAAAGTGAAAACAAAGACAAGATGGGGAAGCCGGCAGTCGTTTTTCAGGTAGTAGATAGCTAATAGTTGAATCCAGATGAACCAAGACGGCCATAGGGAGATAGAAAAGCACATTTGACGTAGACTATTCCCGGAGACAACTTGAGGAAGGAATATAAAGAGGTACACGGCACTGCAGCTTTACCCATGTTGATCCAAGACAAAAGGGGTCGGAAAGAAGAAAGAAAAACAAAGAGATCGGGTTTCTATGCAACGGGCTGAGAGGCTTCTTGCGTTTCAACCTTCTGCTCGAGGCCGGGATCCTCGTTCTTCACGATGTTTTGGTCTTCCTTGGGAGTAGCCCACTTGGGCGTCTTGGCCCACTCTGGATCTTGCCAAGGGCCCTGGTCGCTCAGCTCACAGCCGCCTGGGCACTTGCAGGTACCACCGATGTCCTCGGGGAGATTCTCAGCGGGGACTTGCGCCAACAGTTCCTTCTTGTAGTTGGAACCAAGGATGTGGATCTTTTCGACAGTCACGGGGTCAAGGAAGCCCTTGACGGCGTTGAAAGCGCCGCTGAAACCCCAAGGGGCGTTGATCAAGTAGAGCTTTCCCAGACGCTCGGGGTAATAGTTCTGAGAGATGGCAGAAGCCTGACGAACATATCCATACACAGATGGGATACTTGTGATACCGACGCCCTTCAAGTCCATGATGGTGCAGCAAGTCTCGAGGAGCTTACCTGCCTTCCGTGAGCAGGCGGGCAGTCGGGGGTCGGCAAGCTTCTCGTACTCAGTGACGAGGTTCTGCAACATGCGCTCGGCGGTGGTGATTTTGTACATAGCGGTAAGATCGATCTTGCCCAATTTCTCGATGTAGACAGGTCTTCCATCCTATTTCCATTAAGTTCACAATTAGCATCGAAGTCGGCTAGGGACAACACATGCACGGTGGTTGTACCTTATCGGTCTTGTGGTAGTACTGAGGGTAGAACTTGAACACTTCTGGCTTCTCCTTGTAGTCGAAAGTGCGAGGCAGGTCGTCAGTACCAAACTCCTTCCGCCACTTTTCGCACTCGAGGAACCTAAGGAGAACGGGCAGAGGTTAGCGCTGTATTTCGCATTGTTCGACCGAGGACAAGGAAAAAGTCGAAGGATGAGATCACTAGTTGTGAAGTTCTCATCGGGACGCTTTGGTGGTGTCCGCGGACGCTACAAACGTGAAGTAGTAGGAAACGCCTGCGACATACATAGTCTTAGCAAGGGCAACGTCGAACTTTCTCGCTCTCAAAAAGCGGAGCAAAGTCAAAGTATCCAGCCTTTCAGTGTAGCCGAGCTGCTCCAGCTCACTCCGAAGCTGTTCTACCTTTGCATCCTGCTCTGGGGTGGTGTGGCCAGGGTGGCCGGCGTGGGCAACCGGCGCAGTGGTGGGAAAGTCATAGTTGTCGTACTTCGAACTAGGGGCGGCCATGATGGATTGTGTACGAAGTCAGTGTGAGAGGGAGTGAAAGGTAGAAGGTAGGAGGAGTTGCGGTGCGGATGAGGGAAGTAAAGTATTCGTGGTCGGAAGACAGAAAGCGCTTAGTGTCAAGGGAGGAGAAATCAATTTGATAAAGGGGGGGAGGAGGAGGAGAAGAGAAGAGAGGGAGTGGGGAGGAAATGCACGATTGCAGAGATCTCTCCTGCAGGTTACAATTATTGATTCCCTTTTCTTTACAGATCTTTTACTGCTTTCATAATTTTGTTTATTTTTCTTCGTAGCTCTTGTGTGTTTTTTACTATTTTTTTTTCTCTGATATCTCTTGTAATAAATAAAAGTAATCAAGAAGAATTTAGCAAAAATACGTAGACAAGAGACGGTCAACGGGGAAACCGTTTAGAGGGAGTGGGCGGTGTCTCCGATACAACACTTCCAGTCTCAGCCTGCAGTGGGAAAAGAAACTGCCAGGTGATGGAAAGAGGGGCGAAAAACGAATACACAAAGGCGGTCGATCAACTTGGAATCCCAGCACAATCTCAAAAAGAAATTATAAACACTCGATAGATTAAATCCTGTCCTGGAATCAAGACTAGGAGAGAGCGAAGAAGGGGGGGCAAAGAGTCTCGGAAATTAAAACCACGAATAATTCCTTTATTCCATGCTCTATCAGATTGTTCATATGAATTGGTCAGATATTGATTTGGTATGCAAATTACTGTAAGATTTGATCCGGAGATCTACGAAAGCGGTGATGCCGAAGGTGACGTCGTCACTGGACCACTGACTCGACACCCAATACTCTTACTACTACTCCGTACTACTACTAGTACTAATTAATTACTAGTAGTGGCAATGTACAATGTTCCAGACGAAGTTTAAAAAAAAAAAAAAAAAAAAAAAAAGTATCAATTGCCCATAAGAAAAAAACTATATTTTATAATGTAATGAGCATATGACCTTCCACTCTTACTAGATGTGACTCCTACGTACAGTACAATTGCATTACGGAAATATATGCTGAGGCTCCTGATCTCTCTAGGCATTCATACTGTACTTGGGAAGGAATAAGGGGCAATCGTGTTCATACTCCGTAATTCAACAGCGAGATCGGCGCACAAGCATCGATATTCTGGAGCCGTTAGGCTTTGTATTTTAGAAGACAAATTTTCATACTCATTCTATACGAAGAGCATGGGTTTACTAACCCATTTTCCCTATCAAGGCTTCTTCTCTAGCCTGGGGAAAAAATATTCGATGTTTTTCTTTTATGCAATCCTCGATCCTGCTACTTCATATTTCGTTACAAGAGCACCGTACAAGCAGACCATATAAAGTTAGTGGCAAATCAGTGTCCCCCTTATTGATCGATCTTGCCAAAGTACAATATACACGTCAAGAAATGCCAATGGAGACAGATGTTGTCCGTATGGACGTACTAGGTAGTACTCCTGAAAGTCCCCATAGTTTCTCCACTCCTTTCATTGCAGCTGCTTGCCAATCTATGACTGGGACTTATTCTACTATTTCCGTCGTATCCCTCCCTAAGCCCCATACAACCGCAGATACTCAGCCTCTTTGCTAGTGTCAGGCTGCACCATCTAACCTACTAGAAACTAAGAGTGTTATTCTCAATGGTGTTAGAAGCTGAATAATGCATGTGTGGAGGTTGACCGTTATCAAGAGACACTACATAGTATGTTCTCCGCTCTAGGTCAAAAGAAGGCAATATGCACCGCCAACTGACCTATGACATATACTTGATTGGCCACGTCATGCAGCATCGACCTAGCGTGTTATCTTGGCAGTCTTGGCATATCATTCGTACTCCCAAGTCATTCATCTCATATGGCATCTCAAGTAGGGTATACATCGTCACCTGACTTACGATAATCACTTGAAGAAACCTGGAGACCATAACTTCCTCCAAAGCGGTAGGTATGAGAGGATTAAAATCTCAGTTCTTCAGCCATGGATACTTCTATGGAGTACCTATTTCGCATATCCTTTCTTTGCCCACTGTGCTGTAGATCATAGGTCCATCATGCGTAGAGTCAGGCAAAGCAAAAACCCGACTCATGCATCGTCACAGACCGTGCTCCCCACAGACGTAGAATACCCAAGATCCTCTCTGTCCACTCTGGATCTCTACCCAACTCCCTCATCAAAAGGTCATACCGATACAATAGCTCAAAACACATCTTCAAATACGCCTTCATCTCTGCCCTTTCCACATCCGTCTCAAGGCTCAACGGATCCCACAATGAGCATTGAAAATCAGTAATGCCCTTCGCATTCCAAAATAAACGATGCGGGATATTCTGTGCCGGATAGTCATGATCCGCCAAAGCCCAATCAGCGAAGTACCTGAACCGCTGCGTCTCCGTCAGACGGACAGTGTCATCTGCAGACCCGCGTTTGGCATTGGCTTTCACAGCGGCGGTAATGTTCAGTAGTAGGTAGGCTTGTAGAGCTACGTCCGGAAGATGGTTGACACCGAAGCTGTGGCCCCAACTTAGATTATCGAGGGTCGCTAGCGGGACCTTCTTGTGGTTTGCTAGACGTAGTAAAGCGAGCATTTCGTTCGATATAAGTAGCATTTTCACGGCGTCAGCTAGGTCCCCATCAGCTGTGCTATATGGAGCCTGGCTGATCCAATGGTCGACATTCTGGAATTCTTCACAGAGGGGATTGGAGACTGCGGAGTTGTTTCTGTGTGGTTCGAGGTGGTATTTTTGTTCGATGACCGGTAGGATAGACGTGTCGAAGAGAGGACCAGACGTTGGCAGAGCGGTAGATGGTGGGTACTTAGCTCGCTCAGTAGTCGCAAACTCCTCGATCACGGAGATAAGGGTTTTTGTAAAGTAGTTTAGCTCAGCGGGTTGGCGATCAGCAAAGCGGTCGTGGATAACAAAGTCGTTCTTGCGGTTCTTGTATTGGTTTTCTTTGATGAAGCCAAAGTGTGAAGAAACTGTGTTCCAAGGAAGCTTATGATCTAGATGCATGATACTCTATCTATGGAATATGTGTTTGGTTTGATTTGAAGTGCCCTCGAAGTGTCACCGTCAAATGAAAACCCACAGTTACCAGTCTAGTGCTTTTCAAATTTGACAATCTATGTTTCCATTTTTAGGGCCTGGTTAGGCAACCACCGCTTGAGCTACTAATTCAATCGAAATCCCCCCTTTTGCCATGCGCCACTTTCCTAATACATGAGCGGACTAGTCAAACGGGGAGGGCGAAAACATGGCGATACATGTTATAGTCCCATATCGGACAGGCGTTCCGCAGCGCCACAGGCTAATCTAACGTCTCATCATGAATCATTTTCAATTACACCGTCGAAATGCTTCATGCGGGCCCCTTTTAATCTTGAGCAAATTATCCCGGCTTGGTCCGATTTGTAATTTTTTTTCTAATAATTAGAGCGGCTTATACGTGCCACCACGATGTGGGAGAGTACACAGTTGTATACAAAGTTCTTAAATCTTAGGTGCATGTTGACATAACTTACATATAGACTGTGGTCTTAGCCAATCCCAGCCCAAATGATAGTCCTGGCTATGGCGAGATTTCAGACTTTTTGGAGTTATTGAAGGAGGTTTACAGTCACCTGCACTGGAATACTGTGTACTCGTTGAAGAATGTCTTGATTGATTTTTGTTTGATATGTCATCCACTAAGTGATAAAATATCATACAATGCGTATAGACCTCCCCCGTCACCACGTGTCTGAATATCTCCACAAACAAACAACCACCTTATCCGTGAAAGCAGGGAACCATAAATCTATCACACATGTTCATTGACTTATTGTTTTACTGCACAGCATTTCACTTGTATCATCACAATTGAAAGCGGGTAGTAAGCGGGACGCTTAGGTTCCACGAACGTCGCTTTGATACCATAAGAGCTGCTCGAAGATCCTGTCTTATCTCATGAAATACGTTCGTTTGAGACCACACAGAATCGCTTTCCAAGTTCTGACTCGACGAAAGGATTCACAGATCCTTCTTAGTGTCATCGTCGCTCTTACCGGCAACCTTGTCACCCAGGCTGTGGTATTCGCGAGTAAGGCCCTCGCACTGCTTCTTCAGGGTCTCAATGTCACGGTTCTTTGCATCAAGCTCCTTCTTCAGGCGTCCGATCTCGCCGGCGTTGCCAGCCTCGGCAAGGCGAGCCGAGTCCTTTCCACCGGCCTTCTTGTCGCCCTCGAGAACCCTGACCTTGTCTTCAAGGCGGAGGACATCAAGGATCATAGTGTAGGTGCGGTTGAGGATAAGAGACAAGAAGAGGGTGAAGCCGCAAAGGTACATGTTACGTTGAGAGTAGAACTTCCGGGCCTGGACTTCCATGCGGTCAGTGCCGAGGGCAGCCGCTCTGTTGGTAAGAGGTATTGTTAGATATGTCTAGTTTACAAAAACGTATTGAAGTAAGGCAGTTTACTTACCCCATGTTCTCCTTAGAGAAATTAGTCACCTCCAGCTGGACACGGTACACCCGGTTCACGCTGTCAACGAAGAGGATCAAAATGAAGATGAATGTAATCTAAAGAGTTTGTCAACAAGAAGTTTAACCCCTTATAGTAAGTAACTAGGAGCTTACCTTCATTCCATATTGTAGTTTCGCTACTACCGGACTTTCAGAGATGAAGGTAAACAGCTTCCGCTTGATTGTGAAAGGCAGAGGGACAACAAGTCCCATAAAGATCACCATCTCGAATACGAGAAGGCAAAACACCTACACAGATGAAGTTAGTACGGCTTGGAGCTGTGTAATCAAAACAATTCAAGATGTATCCTCGGCACAGCCGGAACTGTAGGCTACACCCTATTCTGCAATTCGATATGGTCGATTTGGTGTCAATCTGCAAGTGAGATACAAAATAAACTTACAAGACTGTAGTAAAGAGTCATTTTGACTGGAACTAATACCCCAATTCGACAATTGACAATGGAAATAGCTCCAGGGGGTGCTATCAACCTGTGCTCGTGGGGGAAGGTCGCGGTAAACAAAAGATAAGATGTGCCAAGGACAGTATCAGGTACTCAAGAAATGGCTGCAACAAGCTCTGAATATATATTGCAGAGCCTTGGAATCAGGAGACGAGTTATTTTTCCGGGCGGGGGAATGAGATCAGAGGCTTTTTTGTACTCAGGGCGATGAAGATGAGGT